CATATTTGAATATACAACAAACAATTAAATTCTTTTAAAACCAACATTTAATAAAGATATACAATGTATGAATCAAACCCATCAATAAGTCTTACACTCTGGATTCAATCTCAACATCTCGTGCCATGTTATTTACAAACACGAAATCACAAGATCGCATTTCGTAAAAGACGAAAGTATGTACGCTTTACATACATAGCACACTGAAAGCAAAATAATTATTATTTAAAAATGTGCCTTATTGATAATTGACTACGTATATTGAGTTTGCATTGTCAGTTACATCGTTTTGTAAGTTACTCTTGATTGTTTGCAAAGAAAACTAACAAGCAAAATAACAATTTAAGCATACAAGTGTTCAATTTTGAACTGAACGGTTTCGTAAATACTTGGTCGTTTAAAACACATGTGATGTGGTTATAATAAACCACTCGATTGATGCAGGACCAAGCAATGCATAAACAAGAGTCCTAAGGGCCTGAACGGTCACTTGAGTGACAATGGTTCTTGTAACATGTCATAGAAATGATCTTGTTAAAAATCTAATATAAGTTTAACTATATTATACACATAATGCAAATGTAAATTGTGTATACATTTACTGCTGTCCCATGCTATGGCTTCTAACCAAGTTTGAAATAAAAGAAATTTCACTCTAGATTTGAGTTTTCCTGTATAAAATCTTCTACCCAGGAACAGTAGAACATCTTTAAAATTTCAGTCAATTTGACCACTTTAGGCACCGCCCATCAGCCCCTGTGAGTCAGTCAATATCAATTTTCCTATATTAACTATAGTAAAATTTACCTCCTTCCCAAGGGGAAATGTGAGACCTCCAAGGGTCATGAAATTTACAATTTTGGAAAAGCATCTGAAGGTGTTTCAATCCATGAAAAGTAATCGATGCTCCCCTACCTGGGATTTGAGAAGATTTTTGAAGTTTCCATCGATTTGACCACTTTTGGCCCCGCCCCTCAGGCCCCTAGGGTTAGAAGACCATATAATTTACAATCTTGGTGGGACTTACCCAATGGACGACATTTGTAAAATTTTATTGAAATCAGTTCAGGAGTTTTCCAGAAGAATTCGACAATTTAAACATTTCACAACGCACGACGAGGGACAAAAGGGGATCTCAATAAACTTTGTCTCAGGTGACCTAAAAATTTATCATGCATTGAACATTTACTTCCTGTCTGTGATAACAAAGTTGTAATATATAGTTCCACATCAAGATCCTAAATTTTATGTTAGCCATGGTTAGCATTCTAAACTATGGCCAGAATATTAGCTCAATACAGACATCGACGGTTTGCTGAAGTCATAGCACAAGGCAGGTACTCATACCATGCAATATATTTACTAATGCATAAAACGTATGTTATGATGTGTTAAAACACCGTCATGCATACACCTTTATCATGTTAACATATGAAATTCTCTCTGACAACAGATACGTAATGATAACTACTAGTAATCTGAAAGCAGCAACAAAATACGAAAATGTCTGTGGTGGACGTTGTGATATACATACTACTCTCTCACACACACCGTGTTTTCCTCCTTTGAACGTTCGATAGTGTCCTAAATGATTGGTATTGTAATCATCACCCAGTCACATCTAAAATATAAGCATTTTCCACCAATAAATTAACGTAACTCAATCCTTACACGCTAAAGTGAGCCAATAAGTTAAGTAGATAATAACATGCCACATGACAACAGCCAATATTGACATCAAATAAAGTCAATTATCTCCACTGCGAGACAAATAACAATGAACGTCAACATGTCAACCTTCATGGAATTATAACATCGAATCAGTCTAACGTTTTCAAACAGTACATATATGATTACACATTATATCAATGTAGCTCAATAATTCAACCTGAGCTTTTACAGCTCATTATCACATAAGAAGAAGACAAAACAGGCAGAAGTACCAATTTTCACCTTTTCTAAAATACTCCTTACAGTAACTTACTGATAATTTCTTAATGTTTCCAAGTTTGCAATATTTCACAACACCATCCAAACCCGAATTGAGACATTTTATAAATGTGTAATTAACCATTGCCAGTGAAGTGATATGATTATCTGTATTGCGATACAACCTTTTTGAAACGATTATTAAAATTAAAATCAAAATCATAAAAACTTATTCCATATGCTTCATTTTAAAAGATTATACATTCAAAGTCAAATAAATGAGATTCCAACATAAACAGATTATTATATGAAAACCTTTTGTACAACATTCAAAAGTATTAAAAATTTATCTGACAAACTTATAACGCTTTTAACAGCGCCAAAGGAACGAAAAAATATCACGATATAACACTATATAATTGTATATACAGAAATAAAAATCAATTCTGTTATAACTGTGCATATAATTGTTATGAGATGACATTTTTATCAATGCTCATATTGACCAATATACCTGATACCAGTTAATCACTAATAAATAATAAATCTATTTTTGTACATTCAAATTATCAACAATGATAAAAATGAACAGCTACTCGCCGTAGAAAACACAAAACACATAATTGGATGTTGAAACAACACTATGTTCACAAATATATCTTGTTCATTCTTTGAGTTGTGATAAATCATATCAGAGCTGTTGTAGAACAACATAACTCGCCTCACAAATGATTGTCAATAGACACTAAAATCATAGTCCAAATATAACCAAAAGCAGATTTTTTTCTGAAGTTCGTTTAGCCCTATTCAATACCTAAAACCTGATACCACTAACCCATCCTCAATACAATTACAAAGTGGTGTAATGTGATCTTATAAGCCCTTCTTACAAGTTCTTGATATTTTACTGAACTTAAAGAATAAAGTTCAAATTATGTCCAAAAGGCAAGATGAAAATTCTGATACAACTTATCATACACGAAGGCATACGCTGCAACCATATGAACATGTTTGTATTAATGACTACCAATACAACGTGAACAAACCATTTCACCATTTCAATCTGCGATATGTAAAGTAACCTTTCAGGTCAATTCACAACAACGTTCAAACGAGACCAAATCGGAATAGGAACCGCGGAGTCAAGCAAGAAATAAAGTAGTTGGATAGTTGAAATATATCTGATGTACATTATTTTCATGACTGTGATTTTGTTAAAGTGTGTCACTGAAAAAGAAATGTTGTCCATGAAGAACACAATACATCAGTGTTATGTATTCAACGATTATCCGGTCGGTCTACAAATCACTAGATCTAAACAAAATATATAAAATAAGTCACAAAAACGCTATTAAACTGCTATAAACATACGAACAACACTTTAATGATTACAATTGATCTGCATTGAAATTGCTTAATAAAAACGAAAATATGGAATGGCAGAAATATTACCCATAAATAAAATGAATAATGAAATCAACTTTGGGGAAAATGCATGCATTTCACTATATTAGTTACAGGTACGGCTCCTTTATCAATATGTATCCTCGAATGCTAATTTCCCCTGTTCTGTAGGAGATGTCTACAAACCGAACAACGATCATATACAACCAAACAGTTCTGTAGGAGATGTCTACAAACCGTACAACGATCATATACAACCAAACAGTTCTGTAGGAGATGTCTACAAACCGAACAACGATCATAAACAACCAAACAGTTCTGTAGGAGATGTTAACAAACTGAACAACGATCATATACAACCAAACAGTTCTGTAGGAGATGTTTACAAACCGTACAACGATCATATCACACTAAGCAGTTCTGTATGATATGTCTACAAACCGTACAACAATCATATCACACTTAGCAGTTCTGTAGATGTCTACAAACCGTACAACGGTCATATCACAGTAAGCAGTCCTGTAGATTTCTACAAACCGTACAACGATCATATCACACTAAGCAGTCCTGTAGATTTCTACAAACCGTACAACGATCATATCAATCTAAGCAGTTCTGTAGATGTCTACAAACCGTGCAACGATCATATACAACCAAACAGTTCTGTACGAGATGTCTTCAAACCGAACAACTATCATATACAACCAAACAGTTCTGTAGGAGATGTTTACAAACCGAACAACGATCATATACAACCAAACAGTTCTGTACGAGATGTCTTCAAACCGAACAACGATAATATACAACCAACCAGTTCTGTAGGAGATGTTTACAAACCGTACAACGATCATATCACACTTAGCAGTTCTGTATGATATGTCTACAAACCGTACAACGATCATATCACACTTAGCAGTTCTGTAGATGTCTACAAACCGTACAACGATCATATCACACTAAGCAGTCCTGTAGATGTCTACAAACCGTACAACGATCATATCACACTAAGCAGTCCTGTAGATGTCTACAAACCGTACAACGATCATATCACACTTAGCAATTTTGTAGGATATGTCTTCCAACCGTATAACGACCACATCAATACAATCTAAGCAGTTATGTAGGAGATGTCTAAAAACCGCACAATATCACAGGATTAAAAATAATGACCAAGTAAACAATGGACTATGTACAGTGCATCATGAAACACAGGTAATGATCTACAATGGCAGTATAAATAAAGGCATTAAAAAAAGATATTTTTAATTTCCTAAAATAATTTCCCGTATTTTCCGAACTTTTGTGACTTATTTAACAATGATCACTTGCATTCATAAGAACAAGTTTTTCAAGGATTCACCAAAATACTGAGACGGGTCATACATAAGCAGCAACACTTTTGACGTAATGTTTCATCTTGTGTACGTTACTTTATACATCAATCGTTGTTATTTCTGTGTGGGAATAGTGATCATTCATTGTTCGGATATAACTTAAACAGATCTATCATTACCTCCTGATATAATGAAATTGAAATTCGCAAAAATCATCCTCAATTTGATCCAAATCATATTTACAATTAATTTATCATGTACGTTTAATATTCTCATTTGAGCAACATAAATAAATCGTTACTGTTATTAATGCAGTTGTATCTTTCGAGCAAATTAAAAGGTGTATAAAATTTACTATAAAAGTCTAAAAATTTAATGGATGCTTAAATAAAAAGGACAAAGTGAAAAAATAACATTTAGCCATATCAGCTATGTCGAGATTCTTTTTCTTTTAAAGGTCGTTTTACAAATAAGAAAACGCACTTAAAATATAAATATCATACGATTTACAAAAATACGTTCAGAAACGGCATTACCAAATAAAGTGGGTCATGATAAAGAACTGCAGATAACAATACAAATATAATTTATCAGTAACTAACAGGTTCGAAGATGAACCGTTAACAAATCGTGATGACCAGATACATCAAAACAATGCAAGTTTGTATCACTGTTTGCTGTAACAAAAATTTCGTAAGCGTGATAAGATGAACACTCTTGGTGAAAAGTGAGTTGAACTTAGATAAACCGTTACATTGTCAGTAAAATGTTGTGTAATTTTTACACTGCTCTTGACCTGTTTAGATGGAGAACAGATTCAGGAAGACTTCCGGTGAAAGTGGAGAGGACTTAGGTTCCTTGTCACTGATGCATGGGTGACCGATTGACTGCAAGAGAGGAAGATGTCAATGAAAAATTACATCTGGTTTTAAACCTTAATCTTACAACACATGTCTGTGGGATCTACAAAGAAAATAATGGCGACCATCGTGCAGATAGTCCTTCATAAAAAAAAATGCATATCATCTCTGCACTTATTGTATATGTTTTGACGAAAAAGAATGCTTATGTTTACAAATAAAAATATTTCAATGCAACTAAGCAGTTTGGTCCATCTGAATGCTAACAGAACCTGCTTCTCGTTCTTCTAAAATGGACAATGAGCTTATCTATGATCAGAAGTCTCAAATATAACCAACCTGCCAGAATAGATTATCACAGTGGTTACAAATGGCCAGGGTGTCTGCATACACGTCCTTCTTACCAAATCGTCTGTGTTAGGAAAAGAATAAGAGACAAACCCTATTAAAAGAGGTTGAACAATAATGTAATTGCACAGTTTAAAATATACAGATGTATTTGACATTCTTCTGAAATTATCAGACTGAATGGTGGCGCAGTACACCTCTCTGTCTAGATTTTAACATTTTTTTTTCGATCATTTTGGATTTTCCTCAGTTGCTACCTAGGTTTTAAAAAGTGGCCTGTAGCATCACTGACGAGTCCAATAAGGACAACACATTTATATGATGCAGTTCAATTCTTTATTTCTCACTAATGCATCGAATTCTTAATTGTATTAAATTACAAAATAACGTCTTAATGTGTGCTTGTGAATAATAACACCGAAACCTTACTCACATCAGTATAAAGCCTGAAGGTATTCTTGCATGCATTTCAACTTAGAGATATAATTTGATTATGTTGCCAATACTTACTTAACACAGCGTTTATATATGTACTTCCAATCAACACAGCGCTGTCCTGTCTCCATCTCTTTAGGAAGGAAAGTAATGAGCTGGCGGTCGCTGAAGTGGAAGAAGCAGAGTTGTTTCCAGAGAGAGTTTTCCTCTGCTATGATGAGGTTGGATGATGACGTCATGCCTGTGTGAAGGATGTCGGTGTGATCTGAAAGGCGTTGGAGGATACAACGTACACAGTCCTGAGGCAGGTCCTGGAACATTGCCATTCCGTCATCGGCTCTCTATAAAAAGTAAGGAGTGTCAACAATATAAAAACAACACATACAGAAGAGCGTCAAAATATAGAGATACAATATACAGTGTCTCTATATAAAGCTTAAGAAAGTCGACATTCGAATAAAACAACAACGAGACCTAATACCGAACAAAGGAATGGTCCTTGTGGCACACAACAACTCCTGGACAGTAAGCTTTTCATTCGCCACAACTGAAACCTCGTGTATACTGCATCACACTATCGACGATCTAGTGAATATTATTAACACTGAAATCGACTTTTTTCTGTCTTTATTTCAACCTGTCAAAAAAGGACCCGACTTCTTCCACTGAATTCGAAGTTCTATCAGTTCCGTGTTAATTGACCAACAGTATAACTTTCATTTTTTTACACAAAATAGATCACGTGATGTGATCTTCCAGCTATCACACTTATACTTTATAGTAGTAACATTGGCAAACAGTACCTTTTCAACAAGAACGTGTTTCCCTAAAGATTAGCGCTAGTTAGATTAATATAATTTTTTTAATATGACCTGAACACTTGTTGTTTGTTTATATTTACATACGCTGTGATGGCAGCAATGCTCTTATAACTTATTATTATGTTTCTGTTTATGTTTCTAAAGATAATAATACCAGGAGAAAAAATAAACAACACTGTTGTCATTTTTTATTTATTTATTTTTTTTTTTTTAATTTTTTATGATTCAGGGAGTCGAGAGAAACAAGTATCTATACATACCTGTTCAACTTTATATCTGTCCAGTTTGGCGAGCATTTTGTGTACACCCTGTAAGTGTCTGTGCCACAAACTCTCGCTCCCTATGTGACAGTACTGTCCCTCATTCAATGTGCACATTGTGCTGTTGACAAGGTCGCGCGTACGAGCCACATTAGTTTTAGTTTTTAGCACTACAAACACAAAGAATTTCACTAAGACTCTTTTTCTAATATTTTAGTATATTATAAAATAAATGGTGGTACTGATTTTGTTCTTATTCTTGTCAATCTTACTCCAACACAATAATATATTGAACTACCAATCATCATTCATCAGACACATACAACTATTATTTCCTGATCTGTATGGTAGGACTTTGCCATTGTTGTAACTAATCTCAACACAGACTGGTTATAATGAATGTGTATTCCTTCTATAGTTAGAATTAACGTAAAATGATCCTGGTTGTAATTGATTTACATACAAATGATATTAGTAATAATAACTCACCCTGATTGACCATTTCGTCAAGTATGTTGATAATACGTTTTTGTGATGTGCCACTCATGTTTGTCAACTTTCCGCAAAGCAGGATCTGTAGTACCTACATCGCAATTAAAGTAGATATTCAGTAGGTTTTTTAGTGTAAGTTAATTTGTTTCCAAACATGATGAGTTAAGTAAACAATAATAAGCTTCATAGAAATCCTCAGTTAGAAAATTGTGATTGATAAGAGATATCAGATGTCACTGTAAAATGTTTTTCTCAAGATAATAATGTTCCTTACATTACGAAATATCTTTATCTTTTCAGTATTATCATACGTCTATTAACTTCATAACATTTAAAGACCCTACATGTATAATGTTAATATTTTTCTATAAGAATTTTTCATTACACAAACGGGATTGATAGAGGGGGGAATTCTACATATAGGGTAAGTGTTACTTAGTTCATTTCACGTGTTTTTAAGTTTCCTCTACTACATGGCCTTTTAGCGTTTCAGTGGACTAGTAATGCTAATGCTAACCTTACACACATAGTTAAACCTCCTGATATCCTTCACGGCTCCGGACATGTCGAGATGGACGAAAGCTTCGCTCAAACTCGTAAGGATCTTCCTCTGTAAATGTCAAATGATGACAATAATACATAGTAAACTGGAATGTATGGTTACTTTTGGAGGACACTGGATTGCGTAGGGAAGTCAGGTTACCTTAGGAGGGCACTGGATTGCGTAGGGAAGTCAGGTTACCTTAGGAGAACACCGGATTGTGTAGGGAAGTCAGGTTACTTTTGGAGAACACCGGATTGTGTCGGGTAGTCTGGTTACTTTTGGAGAACACCAGATTGTGTAGGGTAGTCAGGTTACTTTTTGAGAACACCAGATTGTGTAGGCTAGTCGGTTTGATTTTAGAAGGCATCAGATTGTGTAGGGTAGTCAGGTTACTTTTTGAGAACACCAGATTGTGTAGGGAAGTCAGGTTACTTTTTGAGAACACCAGAATGTGTAGGGTTGTCGGTTTGATTTCGGAGGACATCAGATTGTGTAGGGTAGTCAGGTTGCCTTTAGAGTGAAGTGGTTTTTATGAATTAAGTTTGTATAATCAGCAGTTTCTTACAATTCTTCGACACGTCTACTTTGTACTCATTTTTTAAATTTTTTTGAACTGGCGCAAACGTTGTTTCACTATAATGTTTTGAAAAAGCTATAGATTGTATCTTTAATAGCATTGCCTTTTGCTGTGCCGGTTTGTCAAAAGTGATCCAATTAACCTGTAGCATAATTTTCCTTTTATCAATTCCATTCTACTACTTCCATAAGAAGTAATGAATTAGCACATAAAAACATCAACAAAACCTTTATTCGGCATAATTCCATGATGTCACAATCTTTCAACTACATTGGGAAATAATTCATGATATATGTCAACCCTTCGCGTTTTTTCACAATTCCGGAATTTTTTTAACTACATGTAAAACTCGGTTATAAAATTGAACGTCGTGAGAAATCTACGGCGTACAGTAGACTGCTATTGTGTGTTTAGGTAGAATGGAATTATGGCTTTGTAATTTATAAAAGCAGGCATTTAAAGTGTGATACTGATTTGTCGGACTGAACTAGTAATCGGGGATAATATGATTAGTAAACTTGGGATTTCAGGTTCTTAACGGAACACACGTTGGTGGGTTGTAGGATTTTCCGTCTCTCAGATTCCTTCTGCTGCCGGGCATAGTCTCGGCGTTGTCAGTGTTCTGACGACGTCGGAAAACACCTGCATCTTTTTTTTTTTTTTTTTAACACATCACCAGGAGAGGGGAAGTAACTCGTACGTACTTAGCCTTATTTCGTGTGTCTTACCTCCCTTGAAGTGGTTTTGACGTAGTGAATGTAAGGCTGGTGATGTTTGCACCAGTCATTATCTTTGGTGTGAAACTCTGTCATGGTCAGTCGTATCAATCTGAAATTTTAAGCAAGGTATCAAATTTATTATCCGTTCGTCTTATCATTAACTGAATTGCTAACGATTTAAAATAAACAAGCAAAAGGAAAATCAATGAAATAGCTTTCTGTAACAGAAATACCACTCTTTTAGCCATTCAGGTTGATAAAATCGTTCCAACAAATTCTGATGTAAGGTTACAAACTTTGTCTAACTGAGGTAATGCATCCTTCACATTTATCCCGCAAAAATAAATGTTTCAAACAAACAACACAAAATTTAGATACTTATAAATAATAATCAAAGGATCTTGTGAATTTTATTTATAAATTCATTTACTTATTTGAAAACTAATTTTATCGTCCCAACAAGAAATTTGACTATGCCTTGTTGTTATATAGTAGTACCTCTTTTAACATATTTTTTCATGTGTTTTAGGTGAACTACGTAATTAATGCTAAAAGAGGATAAACTTTAGATGATTTCCCCAAACAAAGAAACATATATAATGCATTCCTAACAAAGAAGCTACCAGACCGATGAACCCCGTTACCTCTCTTTGTTTATCTTCAGCGGTAACGTGTCTACACCAACACTAACCATACAAACCACAAATAGGGCTTACTTCAAACTGAGCTACACGTGTAGACTACAGGAAATGTATGCGCAACACTGGGCGTCGAGTGCATTGTTACATTTTACTCAAAGTACAATGCATGTTCAAAAACGAAAATATGCCATCTGATACGTTTACAAAAGAATCTATAACTGGGGCATGAATCAAGATATTAACATATTTCGTAAAAGCAATCACTTCTTTCCGGCTTTATTCTTCTAATAAAAGTACATAATCTGAAGAAATTGATAATCGATAACAATTTTTGTACATAACTGTATATCATGCCTCACAAGAAAGGCATTGTGTGTCACCCAGTGCACCTGTTACACTGTAGTTAGCTACATGGAATGCATTAGTCCATGAAATGACAGGAGTGGAACCTGACGTTAATCAATGGTTACTCGCTTTAATACAAACATAAAGAGACAATCATCTTGCAATAAAGACATAATAAAGTAGCTGTGAAAATTTTACTGATACACAAAATCTACTTAATTTTATCATTAAAACTTGAACCAGACTCATAATTTAAGGATATGTTGTGTTTGAATTGACTACTTAGCATTTATCCTGGTGGCTAGCTATGAGCTGCTGCGTCATTTCAATCTACGCACACAAGTTATATATTACATAATCAAGTGTTGAAATCATGATTCGGAAACGTGACCAGCTGTCGAAGATAATCGATAAAATTATGCAAGCTTTTTCATTCAGGTCACTGACATTGCGATGCACGATTTCAGTTATATTACGCTCTGTTTCTCTTAACACATACGTGTGTACGTATTTCACACTTACAATGACATCGTGAATATATATAGATACATGCATGCGTATGGTAGCTATTCATATACATGAAGCGTGATCCATAAGAGCCACAACTGGCTTTGGTACTAAGAATAAAATACCTTGCAATGATGTTTTCGTTCAAACTTTCGAACACCTTGATCCTCCATAGCTTCAGTTTTTCCCATCCATTGTGTGTCTTGACCCACTCGTCCCCGTTGGATCTCCAATCTCGTCCTAGATACGGCATATTGCCCCGAATTAAATCTTATTGCACTAGCTTTGTCCTTTGTTTTGATTTTGCGCAACTGTTTACGTTTTGCAGGAAGTGTATCAGAATTCTTCGCGGAGACGACATTATAGGTCACTGATTGGCTAGCGAGAATATTGGGACATGTTTGATTGGTTCGTTGCGTTTCGATGTTAATGCCACATGGCAGGTCACATGGTTTTGTTTACATCGATCAGCTGAGAGGTTTGAGAAGGCTTACCACTGACTTTACTTCGCAGTTTTCATGTTATGACGCATTTGCATGCCTAAGCCCTGGATTTCACCTAGTTTTCTTAACAAGAAGGGTCGTCAGCATACCACAATATCTAAATGTTAAAATAGAATAAGTAGACACATACATGGATGCACACATATCTAATGTCAAATTAATGACATTTTAACACATAATCATCGAAAAATCGTACATCAACAAATTCTCATGGTAAAGTATTTTGGGTAAAAAAAGTAGGACATTTTTTGTATCAGTTTCAATATAACTACACGTACTCCTCAAGGACATTTCGATCTTTATCAGCTAGTTTTAATATTTTTTCGTTCTCCCTACTTGTACAATAACGACAACGTTTTAAACTTTTTAAGTGTACTGTAATTGTGTCACGGTTTTCTGTTCAAAATCAAATCTTCATTCACTCAAAGAACAAGCAGTGTAGATCTCTACTATCAAATTATTGCTGGTATAATCCAATAGACTCACCCTGTTTCATTTCAACAAATCTAATACAAACATATACGTGCATTAACATTGTTGCTACATGGTATGAACATACATTGTGTTACAGTACATGAGTAATGTAACGCCAGCTTGCCTCTTCAAGTATTCAAGTGCATGATTTTTTTTATATATATATTTAGGAAAACATACTTATATATAGCAACATTTGGTCTTGTAAATGCTTCATATTTGACTTAATAAGAGACAACTGGTGACATGATCTGCCTAATGCGGTTAAGTATCAAAATCTATCTGACAAGGAAATACTGGGATTTCCTCACTGTAATGAAATTGATATTATTGACGTCGGAAATCTTTTTCCTCGCTATCTATTCACTGGAAAACTGTCTTGCCATAATTTGTTTAGTATGTAGGTTGCCAGGTTATGCGGTGATCATGCTCCTCTCCGGAAAAACGGTTAATTAATGGGGAAAACTAAAATAAGAAAGATACCGTTTAGTAAAGATAGTAAGTAAAGATACGTACATATGGTTTATACTTTTTACATCATGACGTATCACATGACTACCATAACATGGGAAGGCATGGAATATTTGTGTGATATGTGTGACTAAGTATCAAAGCGAGTATCATATATTCATCAAAGACGTGTCCAAGTATTACAGCATCAGACTTTGGACCCCGGTGCCAGAGATACGATGCGCGTGGTTCGATATCCATAGTCGGTGCGACCACTTTCTCAAGAAACTGTGTTTATGGATCTCGACCTGTACTGTCGTGGTCGTGTCCTTGAGCAAGACTATTTACCCAGATGCTTTGGGCAACATACGACGGGATTCCCGCATACTGTTCAGTGAGATACTGCCTACTACGAGAAGGCCACAATTCAAAAGAAATCCACCAAGCAAACCCAGTATCACAGCAGTTACAGACGTACATGCATTAAAATAACATAATACAAAAAAGACGTGCCCCAGTATTCAGATGCGACTACATTCCTTTATAAGAGTCTGCTTGTAAACACGCTCTCCTTGCCAAATAGATGTGCGCCGTACGTTTTCCCTTATAGATGTAAGGCTACACATATCTTACACGGCAAGTAAGTATAATGTACCACGAAATTCGTTAGGCTAGAACAGTGTCTGGTTTGGCAAACATCCAACTAATCTCTGTTGTTCATTCCCTTTTGACCAGCTGTTGATAGAATGGCTAGGAATTGAAAACCTGATGACAACGACGACGTTTTCAGTCGATGATAGTAACATCCTCGTTTATTCCGTCGCATCACACTATATCCGTCACACTATGCATAAGCCAATTTTATTATTCTATACATTATTTCCATTTGTTCCCCTTGTGTACTGGGAAAAGATGGCTGTTTAGATATATATACATCTCTGTTTTCAGTAAACACTCTATTTGAGAATCTGATAACAAAATAATGAATTGATCTAAACCATGATTAGACGCAACACCTTGTCAACCTCAATATACTTAACGAAAATGGACTTATCTTAAGTACGCTTTCCTAAGACACGTAAACATAAATGATTAATTCTCATAGCAATGTACTCAGAGACGAAACAGAAAGGGACTGTATTTAAATCTGTAAAAGGGTATCGAAAGTAAACTGATGATGATAGCGAAACACGGAGCACCGTACTCGGAAAATGCACAGAAAATGTGTCAAGGGTGTAGCTGTGACGTGTGTAGATAAACCACAACACGTGACACACTTACCTAAAAATTCTACAGGTAAACATTAAGTTAACAATGCTGCATTGTCACTTAACACTTAACCTTGTATCGTATGCCATGGCATGCAGTTTGTTTGACATAATGAATTTATAATTGAATTTTAATAGCAGATGTCATATAACAAAGATTTTAATTTGAACTTGTCAACCTTTGACCATTTGCATCGCATCTAGGTCAATAGTTAGGACCTCCTTACGGTCTAAAATACAGCACACTATCCAAGGTCGGTCATCTACCGACAAACTAGCTGGTAGGTGACGCCGTACCCGGCACAAACATCATTTCCTTACAGGATAGAGGACGTGTGTACAGTCTCTCGTTAAATTCTCAGATACAAGTAAGTCTTTCATACTGTTTGTGCTATGGCAATTGTTGATATCATATTTTCCACTACAGTAAACAAAATCTCTACTAACAGGAGATGAGGTCAACAGACTTCGAACATACTATCATGTCGATTAAAGACGTTTGAAATACGGTGGTTACATGGGAAGAGAGCAATGAGTACATAAGTGTAAAAGGTACAGGTAGGTACAGGTAGATACAGGTGAGAAATGTTACATGTGAGGCACGGTACGTGTGATAGATGGAAGAGGTGATAAATCTAAAAAAAAAAAAAATGGAGAGGTGTGAGACATGGTACAGACGAGAGACGGTACGGGTGATGGATGGTCAAATAAGGGAAGTAATGAATACAGGTGAGACATGGTTCAGGTTAATGGGATACAGGTGAGCAATAGTTACAGGTAAAAAATAGATACTCGTGGGAGATGGTACAGGTGAGAATGGTGAAGAGATTTACGTGAGAGACAGATACATGTGAGACGGATACAGGTGAGTGATTTCACTGATGAATGACAGATACAGGTGATTTGGTGGTTCAAAAGAGAAAGTAACACAGGTGAAAGGCGGATACAGCTGAGCGATTGATGCAAGTGACTGATGTAACAGATTGGTGGTAGATTAATACAGTTTACCGTTAAGAAGTGGTAAAAGTGCGAAATGGATATTGGTGAGAAATGGTACGGAGATATGATACAGGCGAAGAATGCAACACAAATGCCCTATAGGTGAGAGATAGAACAGAGAGGAGGTACAGATTGGTATGTGTGAGAGACGGTATATATTAGAGAGAGACGATGCAGGTAATATATGGGTACATGTGGGGAATGGTACAGACGAGAGATGGTGAGGAGAATCAAAGGGGATTTATTCTGAGGGGATATAGGAAAGAGATCGATACAGGCGAGTGATAAGTACCCGTTAGTTTTATAATGTATGTCTTTAAAGATTCATATTGTGGTTTTATATTTAATATTAATGTCTTTGTCGAACCTCGATGTTCGACAATAAAACAAATAGTAAGTGTACGACTATAAACGTTGAAATATAAACCTTCGAAGGATTTATTACAGGACTAGATATGTCTTATTTATGCTATATACGGGTGCAATTGTCACGAACAAGCATTTGTTACGAAAACAATGTTATTCTTGTTAATGAAAACATTAATACGTCGTGTGTACGTGATGGGGTTGGTTACGAATAGATAAGTCACATATTGTTCCAAAGTACAATGTGTAATCTGTTCACGTGATAAGAGAAGCGCCCGGGTGACGTACACCTTTTAATAATATGCATAAGATAAGCTTGTGACGGAGCACTTCATCCAAAAAGTATTGTTTCAAGCGGTATGATACAGTGATTATATGGATATAAGTCACAAGCAAATATTCGTCGACCTGGTGTGTAATAAAAATAAGTATAATTTAACTCCTGTTTATGTCGTCGAGATCTTTTTATATTGACAACGAGACTGATGTATCGCAAAGATATACAGCGATGCGCGGTTTTGTTTTGTTTTGTTTGTTTTTGTTTTATTTATTTTTTTTTCTAAAATTGCAACAGAAAAATACAATACAGTACAATCAAGGAATTCGCCAATAATGATTAGGATTACCCAAGGATTCGTCAAAAACAAATTACTTACAAAAAAACGAGAAATCACGTATGTTCACTGACCACTTGTTACAATTACTCTTTATCTCGGAAATTACTTAAAATCAATTAAATAGAATCGGCTTGAGCTGATTTGAGATTCACCAACGGAATGATAGATTAGATGTATTCAAACGAATGCTCTTTATTCTGGGCCTACATTTGACGTTTTTCGATCACTTTGGATTTTCCTCAGTCGCCTCCTAGGTTTAAAAATTAGACCCTTAACATTACTGACGAGACTTGCAAGCTAAAAAAAGAGCTGTATGGCGCAGTTCAATTCATTATTTGACTCTGCTATATTTGATTCTAATAATTAAATTGTGTTACATGTTGCTATATACATAATATGCGTCTTTTGTATAATCTTAATAAGGCATTAACATAAAGAGAAGTTACATGATTTAGAGTGATTCTTTTGATCTTGTTCCAGGAGAAAGCACTAAAATGCGGGGCCCCGGCCCTTTGCTGGTCGTGTGGCTAGCCGCCATTCTCGTTGCATCTGCGTGCGGTCAACTCTGCACCCGTCCACCAATATGGCGGACGGAGAACGGCACGAGTCCCATGCAGGAAACGGAAGGCAACGTACGAGTGGTGGCTCTACTAAAGGCCAGCTGAGGATTTTGTGTACAGGTTGCCACAGCGTAAGTATCAAAAACTTTCACGGATAAAACTCGCAGGACTTTGAGAACTTACAGCTCATGGCATTGTGATGTATCTACATATAATCGCTTTAATGTTATTCTAGTATTTCTACTTGATAAGATGAAAAACATAGCGCCATATGTAAACACAATTTCTACAAAATACCTTGCATGTCTGATCAGGTCTGTGCTAATTTTAGGATTTATTTATAATCATAAATTTATTTTTGTTTTAGACTCGAACGCATCCGGTCCAAGTTCGAACGCCGTGGCATAACTGGAATCAAATTCATGATTGTCAATATGAACTTGGACGAGGCACGACAGCAAGTCCAGAATCTTAAAAATGTCGTTAACGAGGTGGAAATTCCGATATATCAGGACAACGATGAGTTACAAATTTGGAGAACACTCGGCGGAGACAAAGACTACCTCTACATTTATGACGGGTAAACCTATCTATGATGGCAGACAAATACACTTTTTTACTGAAAATTCACAAATGGCATTTTCACATTTCAGATCAGCCTAATAGTATCATCAAGTTTTGTTTGTTTGGATTTTGTTTTTACAAATGCATGGATATATGAAATGAATCATATAAGCGTACTTTCTATAGAAATTTTTCATTTACTTACAGGTGTGGAATGCACAGATACCTACTGACGTCAGCCGACATATTGGACCGTGTGCAAAGTTCCATAGATAGGCGCCTTATCAAGCGTCGCATACGCCAGGTAAAACGACGCGATCGGTGCGCCCGGCAATGTCGCAGGTACAGGCGGCGCTTGATGTCGGCGGAGGACATGGACCGGATGCAGGGACACCAACCACATGTTATATCTATGTCACGTCAAAGGAACTCCGATTCCGATGCAAATCGGACACCTGCGTGTATGGAGCGTAACTGCCGAGGACAGAACAATCCACAAAGCAGACACAGATTGATTCATCGGATGTGACGTCACATGTTGAGACGAGGCCTTCTGGGAGAATCGACACAGTCTTGATTGTGTCCACGCAACTTCCGGGATGTATGTACGTGCACACGTTATCGTCAGTCAGGTAGAATGCGTTTCTGCGCATGCTCTGAAATCACGCCTTCCATTAACGTGCGTTGTATGTGATATAACTGTAACGAGTTTACTAACGGACATGACGTAGAAATTCCACTTGTCCGACCGTCTTGACGACTGTTGACCAGCTGACACTGTAATAGCGACAATAACCTCCAGTCAGCAACATGTCAGTGACCAACAGGACAATCGACTGACATTGCTACACCATCATCAGTCTCCTGATCTTGTGATGGAGGTGTCTGCGTATGACAAGGAATTAACGAGTCGTGTATGTGACGGGCGACCGACATGGGAACGTCATGAGAATGTCATTTAGACGCGACGTCATGTTTTTGACCTAGGGACGCATCACACGGTGATATGTGACACTGCCAGACAACGTCAACCGGCGTCAGCGAGAACTCCTGACAGTGACACGGACAACAGAGTGGTCGGAGTAGCGACAGTGTTGTCTGAGAATGACAACACACGACCGGAAACTGTCATTGAAATTGCGAGGTTTCCAGCAATGGAAACCTTCAGTGACAATGACCAATAGGTCGGACTCCAACTGCTGTTGTCCACTGACGAACCGGAAGTGACACCGGAAGTAGATGACATTGACCAACAACCGCCACGGCTGGAAAGACTTGAGAATGCATATCAGGTAGGAACGGTGACCATAGTTCGTGCATGTGAGGCACAGACCAACAGCCGTGTGGATGACAGTCATTGACATCTGATATGGCATCCGACATCGTCTGACAGTGCGACAGACAGAATAATACGACGGAAATGTGAGCTTGACAGAGTCTGTCCGGTCATCCGGATGGAACCTGACAATGTCACTCTATCAGCACAGACTGACAATGACAAGGTCTTACTACAGACGGGAACATTTGACAAGAAACTGGGGTCGTGGGCGCACCCATTTGACCTTGACAACAACAATGACGGTGACCCGTTTCCGCGTGACAATGACGAAGCAGCCGGAATGGGAAGTCACTCTGACTTTGACAGTCAGCTGGACGCAACTGACAGTGCTCAGGGTCGCATTTAGGGTAGAAAGGAAACCAAAATTAAGACACCAATTTCAATTTTTTACTGATGCTTACAAAAACGCTAAATGACATCAGCAATTATTTGGCGTTTTCTAATTCATATATATAACCTTAATGCTAAAACAAAATATCATTTCTCCAAATACAACTTTTAACATACATCAATTGGTAAGAAAAAAGCGAAGTTCAAGAAATGCTACCCCATGCTACTGACCGGGACAATATATATACCATATCAATGGTTTCATGAACGAGTTGGTCATACAATGGATAGCCTACATGACGGCACTTGGACAAAACCCAGAAGGTATCCAATGTTCAGATAATTTGGCTGACCAGTTGACCAAAGCCCTGACATGACACTATTGATATTGACAAGAGAATGAATCTATGACATGAAACTGGTATTACACTGTATTGAACATTGTACTGCTGAGGTGTGAATAAGGAAGGAAGTGGTGAGTATGTGCTGCTAAAATAAATGTATCTTGTTATTTGTACTATGTTTATTAACAATTGTTTGTAAAACAAACAGAAAACAATGCATATATGTGCATCTGCAATCTCTGTGTCGCTTCTGCGATTACATCTTCGAAATCCAGAATAATTTACACATCATCTCAGCGCCTTTGGAAAGTGACAAGATGATATCACAGTAGGCCAATTAATCGATTCGAGAAATGCAAACAAAACGTCCATTAAGATTACAGGAATGCTTACTTCCCTTACTTTTCAGGCCCGTTTACCAAGACACATTCCGAGAATTACAGAAAATAGTCCAATAGACATCCTGAATTTCGAAGATGTTTAACCCCTCCATCGGGGTCATCCATTTATATAATTTATAGTTAGCCATTATAAATAATATGTTTAAAATGTTAATAGGCTAGCAACAAAGAACCCGTGAGCAAAACGCATTTTAAGAAGAGAATACGTGTACTTGAAAATAACATTCCAATAAAATATTCGCATTGTAAATTAGATTGAGTAAATTGCGAAACTTCAACATTGCTGTTTTGCACATGTTTTGTTTGTGACTAGCCCTCATCAAGCCCCTGTGTTCAGTGTAATCGAGTAAAACATAATTGTGAACGAGAAAACTATATTTGTGTTAACTTATCATTCCCTGTCAGTCTTTAAATAGTGTTACCGCCACAATAAATTAGCCATTTAGGTAGAATGTATTTCTATACTCTATTATTTGGATATGTATTTGGGAAGATTGCAACAACAGATGTAGAATTCTAGCTCACAAGCACCTGTGTCAGAGAGAGTGTGTTTGAGGGAGAGACGTATCGGTAATAATGGTCGGTATGATACACGTGTTCGTCGACCTGTGACGACCCGCCATAAAGCTAGGGATAGAAGTGGTGGAGTCTGAGGGACTCTAGTCGACCGGTGTATCCTTACGACCACTGTGTGTAAGGAGATTAACACTTCCTTCCTTGTTCAGTACTAATGTGAAAAAAATGTTATGAATAATAATAAAAATGATAATAACATACATTCATGTGTTTTTTCTGTCGTATGAGTGAAATAACCGGAGTCTGAAATGTAATAAGCTGAAACGATATTCAGGACTTGGCCGCGTGTAACTACTGTAGGAACACGAGCTGGCAGCAACCATTACAAAATGTTTTTTTAATGATTTATGTTTAGAAACATATCTGGTATGGAGTATATACACTTTACTTATGCATTTTGAAGCCTTTCTAAAACCTACCTCGTTCCAAAGTGAAGGGATGTATACTTGTTGATCTAAACTCTTTCCAAAACTTGACCCAAAAAACCTTTAAATTGGGTTATAGATAAAAGACACGTTTTATTCTGTAAGTCCAAAAGAAGGAGATCATTAACTGTCTTAACATTAAATCAAGACCAAAAATGACTGTATGCGTTAAATAGAAGAAAGGTAGGCATATCACAGATACCTCAAGCTGGACGATGACGCGGACGGTGAACAACATTAGCTGACAGTTTGCGATAACCTCAGAGCTAAAAAAATATATATGTATATATACACTGCAGTATTGTTTCTCCGTATTTTCAAATGTTAATATTGAAGACCTTTAATGTAAATATTTGAATTCCCTAAGATAAAATGTCGTATATAAAATATTCCAGAGCAGCAGAATTTTTAAAAAATGCTTCTAGCCCTAAACGGTCACGAGTTCTATAGTTGTCGTTCTTATCATATACCATAGAAATTGTCTCATTGACAAAGTAAGATTACTTGAACTACATTGTACATAGCACAAATACAAAATACAACATTATCTGTTATCCCATGCTAATAATTCTAACCAAATTTGCATTATTTCCAATGGAAATGAATGTTCTTCGACGCCATACCCCCTAGAGGGCATTAAGACACTTAATCCATAAAGAACATTTGATTCTATCATATCTCGGTCTTGAGAAGAAGACTTTTGAAATTTGAGCCAATTTGACACCATTTGGTAATGACCATCGCCCCATTGTCAATATGTACATCAAACTGTCACCCGAAACTTATTATTTTTACCAAATATGAATTATTAGCAATGCAAATTCAACAACTTATGCTCAGAAATGTAACTCGTCTATATAAACCATATTAAACTTTACCTCCTGTTGGACCCTGGATTCATGAAAATCGCTCATTTGATAAAGCACCTAAAGACCCTTCTGTCAATGGAAAGTATTGAATCATACCCCATCTGGTTCTTGAGATCTGAAATTTCAGTGAATTTGATCCCCTTTGCCTTGCACAACTGGTCCCTTGGAAGTGGATAATTAACATTTAGCCATGAATGGGCTTTACAAAATTCCATAAAAACAGGTTCAAGTTTTTTTTAGAAGTTGAAAATGTCACTTGCTAAGGACAAATGACTCCCGACACTGTACAAAAGACAATTGGAAAAGGTCACTTAGACACTTTGTCTTAAGATGATATAGAAACTGGATCTTAAACGTTCTGTGCAATGACTATAGTAAAAGCCAAGGAAAACTCTGTAGCATGAACATATTCACATTTTCATGTAGGACTGTTAGAGAAATAGCTGCATGTATCTATTATTAACATTGGGAAACACCTGCTTGTGCCATTTCCTATATATTATGAGGGATTTAGCCCCTTGAAAGGCTCCTGGATTAAGCCTAGTGGTCTGTCTTGTTTCACCTTTTCATGTGTATGTGGTTACAGTGATTATTAGATCATTCAATTGTCTAAAGAATATCACTAACCTGGGAGTCAATCAAACTTAATTTATAACAAATACAATAACATTACCTGGGTTTCATTTCTCACCAAAAATAGCAAAAGAAGAAGTAAGGTTTGAAGTCAGAAAGACAAAAACATTAAATGTTTATACTTTATAGACAATATTACTTGGTCTTGAGGAGTCATATATCCAAGGATGCTCCATAACTTTATATTTATTGTAAATGATGTTATAGCAATCCGTTGACAACAAACCAGTGCATGTATACACTACCAACAGAGAGTGATACTTTTCAAAATGAAGCATCTATTGATTATGATAAGATTAACATTTAACCAATGTTAATTCAAGTAAAAAGCAGCTGGAGACAAAACATTATATGGAAGTACAGTGTATATGACATTATTGAAATATCAACACTCTTTCAGCAATCATTTTGAGTTTATTTAAGTCAACTATTATTTTACTGGAGCAACAAAGAAGTATTATACACCAACTTAAACAAAGCATGGTTCAAATCAACAATTTTGTTCTAGATGGTTTTGCTCTCGAAGAATTCTTAACAACATTTTTAGTTACAAAATGCAAAACACACACAGATCCACATGTATATAACAATTTTAAATGCTGTCTCATGGTTGGACTGATACCAATAAACAGTGAATCATAATAAAGTATAACTGCATATCAAACAAAAGGTTTGTAGAAAATATAATTACAATGACACTTGAGCACCAATTGGTACAGTAAGTATACATACTCTTACTTCATGCATGACCTGACACAACAGTCAAAAATAAATCGGAACTCACACTAACCATAATTCAGTACAATACAAATGACCATCTGATTTCATATATGCTTCTTCCAAGTATGAATATTAGACATAAAATTGTCAAAAACATATCAGCACCCAACGTTAGTTACATATATACCTCAAGTTACAAGATGGAGGATTTAACACATACTATTGTCTATTTGTACAAATGACACACAATTAGCACCTTTAAAATTTCAATACAAATTTAGAAAATTAAAAATAACATAGCCAAATATAATGAGTTACCATGGTAAACTGAAACAAATCAGAAGAGAACATGGTTATATTTCATACAAATATGAAGACTAGACACACACCATAGTGAAAATAATACAAATCAGCAATGTTAGCACTGGACATTAGTTACAAAAATATACCTCATACAAGTAAGAGGACAAGACACATACAGTAGGTCAAAAAAAATTAATTAAAAAGAAAAGAAAAATCAAAACAAGACTGGACACCGGTTATAATTCATATCAATAAGAAACTTGATACAACAATGTCTGTCAATCAACTTATAATAGTAGATTTAACCTTCATTTCATACATATTCATGGTCAAAGGAAAAGCCACACATGAAGTTAATATCATTATTGGTTTTCTTTAGACATTTATATGTCACTATTTCAATTTGACATTTGGAATTACAAATTAATTGATAATGTATTATTTGAAATAAAAAACCAAATCTCTAGAAATGGCAAACAAATTATAGCTGGTCAACATATAGATTTAAAACAATGACCTTTTACATAAGTAAATGTTACAAATTGAAATAATAGAATTGTAAAGTGAGGAACACTTATGTGGAGTAATATTTCATCTATTTCAATCTCACTTTTGATATGTAAACAAGATAAATAACTGAAACCAAATTAATGTTTTGATTATATGTACTGTATAATTTAATGAATTCATTGCAATAACACCAGCAGTTGAAAAGTTATTTCGAACAGAACTTTTCTTCAAAACAAACAATTATGGCATCCATGTCTCAAAATGAATGAGTATTGGGTTACAAAAATATTTGACATTACTTAAAATCTGCATCATAGAATATTGTAATATTAACAAAGTTATAACTCTAAATATCAATTTTGGAAAATTGTACTTGCAAGCATTGTTATATCATCATTATGAAAAATATCAAATCACTATCACTTCAAAGAAATTTTGACAAAATAATACTTATACCTGATTAATAAATCAAAAGCATGTATATAACTTTCCCATTTTCAAAACACTTTAGATATAAACTGAAAGAGATTCTCTGAAATAAAAATTAACAAAACAGGAACGAAAATAGAATAAAAAAAAAGGCAAATAAATCATTAACTAAAAACTGGAACCAAATCAAGCAAGCATAAGAAATCATCTAAAGAAAATAGTATATACCTTAAATACTGTAATAAATGTAATTTTATTGCCAATTGCTGATATTCTGTATCAAGTCAGAGGATAATTGTTATATAAGGGACATAACTCCTATAGAAATTATGATTACAAAAAGAAAAAAAAAATGTTTTAAACTTCGAAAATGAGTGATAACATTTGCCAAGTTTCCTGAATGCAAGTTCATGATGTAAGAGTTTCCAGGACTAATGCCTACCAGCAAGCAAAGGTTAGACATGAAACATAACAGAAAATTACGATAAAAAACAAAAGTAATTTTGATTATGATGGTGGATTGGCAACGAGCATGATGACAATGCTGATCATTCAAAATCATCTTTATACATTCAAATTACACATTTAAATAATAAAACCAGTTCGCGAAAATCTTGATCCCTATTTAAGTATGCGACATACACATATGAAATCCATAAAAGTCACAATTCTCCACCATGAGGATCTGTGTTAGACTCAGGTTCAGTAAACACAGTAGTCGTATCATCGCCATCTTCAATTGCTCTCTTCACATCATCATAAATTTCTGCAACAGACACCCATGGACCCCAGGCATTCAGTAAGTGTCCTCTCTGATCCACCAGGTACTTCCAGAAATTCCAATTTGGTGGTTCTCCAGCATGTTCTGACATAGCAATAAAAGGAGAAACGCATTACAAATCATACCAATCCCAAAAACACTAGTCAAATAAAAATCAAGACCTATATGGTACTTATATACAAAACAACCAGGCAACTGACACATGGGTATACATGCATTTAATGTTATATTTTGTACAAGTTTCAGAAACTTATCAACTAAAATGAAAAATTCATGAAAATATAATGAGTTATAGATATCAATGTAAAATGAATTCCATGTTTCAAAGGAATATTTATATCATAGAAAGATGACATCCTACAATTCTATATACACTCTTAATGGTATTTCTGTGAAATAAATAAAACAAGACAAAGTAAATAGCAATCTGAAATAACTTAAATAATACTTAACTAACTTTAATCAAAATATTTTTCTATGTGGTTATGGCGTATATTTTATGCAGACAACACATTTTTTAAATACCTTTTAGTTTTGAAAGGAAGAAACCTTTTTTTTTATTTTATTTTGATTTTTTTCTCAATATTAAATCATGAATATCAAGCTGATATCACTTTGTCAATTTCAAATATACATAATTGTCTTCAAATTTCCAACATTCCTACCTATGAGGTAATTCCAGGCATCTGGCACATTGTCATTCAGCACATTAACTTTAGCAAACATGGGAAAGTCAGCTCTGTATGTTGTCCTAGCAAACCTTTCTATTTCATAGTTGCTCTATAACAAGAAAATATACATGATATACTACTGTATGATTATGCTGCCATCAACTGAAAAGTTGCGTGTTCTGAGGAAATTTTAAAATTCAATGAGGAAGTGATATTCTTTGGGAAAAAAAAGAGGAACATTTAAATCATACTCTTATTCAATGGAAATACAGCTTACAGCAGGTTCCTGGGCTCCAAACTGATTACAGGGGAATGCCAGCACATTGAAGTCCTCCCCTCTGTAGGATTTTTGTAGCTTCACTAAGCCTTTATAATGGTCGTCTGTGAATCCACATTCTGATGCCACATTTACTACGAGGGAAACCTTGAAGACAAATGTTATTGCAGATATAGCAGTTGATATAATAATTTTGGCATATGTATAAAGAACAAATTTTAAAAAATACATTTTTGTAGATAGACTGTATATCAGCATCTTTGTTTTGATATTGATAATTTTAACTTAACTGTTTCAATAAAGATAATAAAGGATGCAGACTTGTTTATGTATTTTACTTGGGCATATTATATGTCAGCATGGCAAATTTGTTGTGGGGCCATGGTTCTCCATCAAGACGATATATGGAAGCAGTTTGATAGCCATGTACAGTGTATTAAAACAACAATATACAAAATAATTTTGTGAATTAATACTATGGCCAGTGATGAAAGTAATGAGAAAAAAAAAATTATCTTCATCAGTTTATAAAGGTGTGTGATCTGTGTGTGTTAAAAGTAGATGGTTATATAATACACTGCATTAATATTTGTCCGAGTGAATTGCATGAACCAGTATTCTTTCTATTTTTCGCTGCATCTAATAGGTCTTAATTTGTAGTCATTTTTATTTTTGGTTGTTTTGTTAAGTACATAGTGTCAATGGCAAATAGCCTGATAATGCTGTCAATAATGTATTCAAAGAAATCATTGATATATATGAGAAGAAGACTGAGCAAAGACACTGTGGACCGGTTCTTTGAGGCACTCTTGATGTTACTGGTACAATGTATTTTATTATTTTAGTTTTTGCCTACAAATAGTACTGTAGGGGAGCTTTGTATTATGAAGTCTGAAGTCCATGCGAGCGTACCGACAGTGATGCCATATTATCTTATTTTGTATTGTTGGCATTTGTATTGATTCTGTCAAAAGCTTTGGCAAACTGTAAAAGTCCATGATGTAATGTGTGTCTGTTATTGTAGTTTTGTGCGATGTCATGTAAGAATGAGATGAGTTGTCTCTCACGGGACATGATGAACGTGATCCATATTTTGGTTTTCTAAGTGCTAGTTTACACAAGATGCATGGGAGTGATATGGGTCTTCAATTGTTACGTTGTATTATATCCTTTTCCATAGATGGAAGTGACATTCGCATGTGAAAATTTGATTATCATATTTCTTTAGGCCGACATTTGTCTTAGTTCTTTTGTACAGCAGCGTTTACCTTTCCCCTGTATCGTTCCAATGAAACCGGATCTCCAGTTATGTCAGTTACATTAAATGAATAAAAATCTGTTTCCTCTGGTTTAACAGCGGTTGTTTCGTCTTGGAAATCGTTTTCAGAGATAGTGAATTCTTCAATAGTGTTGTCGTCTGCAATTTTTGGAACACCATCTGTTGATTGTGTGTTTAAAGTAACGCTGTCAGTTTCATCGATAGCATGCGTTGAAGTATATTTAAATATTGTTATAATTATACAGGTTGTTGCAAACCACTTGAAAATTGTCTTAAATATGGCGCTTTTCTTAAACATCCTATTCTGCAACATGTTCACGTTGTTGACGGAAGCCATGCTTGTTTCAGTATCTCGTCAAATACCGCATATCGCGAGATTTTTCGAGAAAGCAACTTTGAAAAATTCAACCAATGAAATGTTGCATTGTCCTTCCAATCAAGAAAATGATTGGCTTATATTCACAGCGGCAATATCAAATATGAAAACAGCAACAACCTGCTCAGACTTGTAAACGTTGTGTGCAGATATAAAAAACAGTCGTTATCGAAGTGAATGTGTTAATCCTATTGTTATAAGTTTAAAAGACATGAATAAGCAAGAACCGTAAGTATGAAAAAAACTTTGCCTCCAATTTAAGTATAAATTGTCGAGATCACATATAAAATCTGCTTGCTGTCAGTCCCATTGGTTGATTGAATATTGTCCAAGTTTTGTCAACATTGGATGGCCTACGACATTTCACTTGATGTATTATAATACCTAAATATGACATTTCTGCGACAGAATTGATGTGCGATACGTATCTTGGAAACGGTATTGTTTATGTTGTTCATAATTTGTACTTGAAATCAATCGTTTCCACTGAATTCTGTGATTACCGAATCAAGAATAAAAAGAATTTATTCCTATTCATTTATATCGTATTTTAATATGGTAATATATTTTGTGTGTTTTGAGTAAAGCTTGTATATAAGACCTTACTAGGTAGCATAGATTGGTATGCAGTTTTAAATTACATGGCGTAGAAATGAAATTTTATAGGGAATTCGAACATGAACATCAGGTAGGTAGTGCTGTGTAACTTTTACGTGACGAGTGAGTAGCCACTTTTACACAACGTCATTTGCAATGTCAGACGGTTGGTTTTACATTTACATCGTTTTTTCAATAAAATAGAAAAAGTAATGTTACTTAGATATCTACTTGTTAATATTTGTTAATACATGTATTTACCTTAATAACTGCCTGTTTTCTCTTTGGGAATTGAATGATTGATATAAAGCCTGTGTTATTGTCTAGTCGAGCTGATTCTAAAATTCAGAAACGACTCTCACCAGATATTCCTTCCACATAACGTTATTCAGTCTGTATATTGATTTAAGTTTTGATAATCTCCATATTTTTTTTTATGTAATTGATGTCTGGGGACTGTGCTGGCCAAGGAATAGTTTCAATATTATTTTCCGTTTTCCAGCTGCAGGTCTGTCTTTGACACGTGATGGCAAATATTCAAAAGGGAAGAATGTGGCCTGTGACATTTTTCTTTCTATCCGAGTCAAATATTATAACTTAGCTAAATAAAGGATATCCTGTAACTGTTTATTGAAAATTAACAAAAACTAGCCTAGCATTGTTTATGTATACAAATGTCTAATGAGACAAATGGTGTTGTGCAAAAGAATCAATAATATATACAAAATCACAAATATTATACGTTTTCCATGGAGTAATGCCAACAAATTGAAGTTGATAATGAAATACAGCCTTTTACCATTATTACTTGAATACAGCAAAAATACTTTGGTAGAAAGTGCATACTTAGATTTTCAATTATTTTCAGATGACACACCGGCACATATGACAAGAACAGCACTTTCAAGCATAAAAGGGTCTTTTGGAAACAACCAGCTTAAGAATAACAGATTTACATAAATATTAACAGTAACTGACCATGTCACACTTTAACTTTGAAAATGAGCTAAACAGTGTATTGAGAATGGATGCACCGATATCTAAAGGACCAACAATGAGATGGCAAAAGCGAGCAGAAAATCACCAAGACTGCAACATGGCAAACATTTCTGTGAACAGTTCGTTGAATGCCAGTACCACAACAGCCACCAGTAAAACACCTATGAAAAATTTGAACAGATCAGTGAATAACCCTAAAACACCATCAGCAGGGTCTGGCGGGAAAACACCAAAGTCTGGAGGTAACAATCCAACAGTGCTATCAAAGGAATCATTTCATGTTTGTGTTCAAAATATGTATTGTTGTAGCTAAATTATCAATGTCTCCTGTGACAGACTCATTACAGGGTAAACTTTTTTCATTATTATAATTTTGATGATTTTTTAGTGTATATTCAGCTTATACTACAAAATTTTATGGACAAATAACACTTATGAAATGTGTATGATATCATACAATAGTCCAGATGTAAATTTTTCACATTTTTCTGATATCATTAGTATTTGAAGCCAAGATAAATCAAATTTAATACTGATGATCCATCTTAGCTGATGCATGACTCTGTTATGAGATCATTTTATATTACTTCAGGCAAGACGAAAACACCAGGAAAAGCCCCCAAAACACCAAGTGGCGGAGACCGCTTTATTCCAAGCCGGAGTTCTTCACAATATGACCTGGGTCACTTTAAAATAATGAGCAACAATACTGAAGATCCAGAACTTTTGAGTCCTTCTCAAAAAGAATACCAGAAAGTGATGAGTGAAAACCTGAATGGTACAGACGTGGAAGCAGGAAAAGTTCTATCGTACCAAACAAAGGCACCATCAGCACCAGCTGGTACATATATTTCTGTCACATTACATTTTCTTTCTGGATTCAGCTATGTCTCTAAACGGAATCCACCTATCGTTATTCAAAGTCCCTTTTCAATATTTTGGGTGCATTCAATGTCTTTTACCAATTTTTATGTTCATTTGTGTTAACATTTAAGTGTTTAGTTTGGTTTTGGATTTTAATTTGCAACCTCAGGTGAAGATTGATCCTTAGTTTTTAATTCAATTGAATCCATACTGTGTGGTTTAAATTTTCAGGAAGCTGAAATCTTAGACCCTGCATCAAAATGGCTTTTCAGTGATTTTTTGGACACAGATATTTGAGTCCTGGATTCATGGTTTTCCTTCAGGACTCACAAAAAATGTTTTGAGGCCCAATTCTATCTATAAGTAATGAGATTATTAATATTTTGAAATTTGTGTTGTGGACTCCCCTTCTTACAATAAAATACTACCTTGGTTGTTATCAGGTTGATGAATTACCCAGATAGCAAACAAACACTACTTCTGGTCAAATTGAAATTATATATTATAATAGGGCAAAAACTTCAGTAGCATGTTTAAAACACTCTGCTTCAATCTTTGTCTGGTGACCAATATTCAATTTCTAAACTAAAAGTGGCAGTGAAAATACAGGGGCCACCTTCCCAATCATACATTTCCCTGAGCACTGGGTTTTTCTCTCAGTAAACCCTGTTGTGATTGTAAGCCAGCCAACAAGAGTGATCAGTATAAATGGATATTATTTCCTGATTGTGGTAAAAATCACATTATATTTGTTTGTTACATTGTTAAAGCTGATATATACACTGTAAGAACTGATGTTATGGAAAGTGTCACAAATCTCTTTGAACCTTTTGTCATTTACATGTGATAGATCATAAATTATATACAGTACATTTGGTATTTGCAGGGTTCCAGAACCATCTAAGGGTTGTATACAGTAAAACACCAGCCAGCACAGCCAAGAAGACCACACGCAATATACCTCAAGTTCCTGAGCGCATCCTTGATGCACCAGATATCCTAGATGATTATTGTGAGTCTTTCCATCGCGTTAAATTTTTCACTAGATATTCACATTTTGAGAACATGATGTCAAAAGCTACTACTTCAATGAAATCAATTTCAATAATGCCAAATTCACTCAAATGAAGTTAAGGATTCTAGAGATACCAGTGTTGAAGTATATGTACAGTGAGCATCTACAATTTTTTTCGCAAGTACTTTTCATCTTTATTGTAAAAACCGAAACAAGAAATTCTAGGAGACTCATCAAAATTCTATGAGTACAGGAATCCAAACTTGCATGTTTTCAGTATCTCTGCATGTATTACATATGTATACCTCGGTGTATACTTCTGACCACATTGATTTTAAAAAGATACACAGGATTGATTAAATGTGCAGTATAATTTGCAAAAGATTGAAAACATTTCAATTATAGTAATATTTAATACCAGTAACATTCTCAAACTGTGAAATAAATTTCATGGTAAAAACATCCACAGTACCATGATATTTTGTTTATTTGTTAGAATTTAATGACTATGTTACAGTGATATTTTGTTAATCCTATTGTGCTAATCAGTTAAAATGGATATTCACTATAGTAATGAAATGTGGAAGTTTCAGCAATTACCTGGTAAGATAACACTACCGTATGGCTACAATAATATAAGGGCATGGTAAGGCATATTAATGATTGCAAATTACTTATGATTTTTTGAAGGAACAAAAGATTTGGAGCTTTAAAATTTTCTCTAAAGTCGATATAGGATTGAATTGATCTAATAAACATATTCAAGTAAAATGATATATATGCCATTTGAACTTGGTATTTCAGAAATTTTGATGTAAAAGGCTTGTAATGATGTCTGATGATTAAATATTTCAGACCTAAACCTATTGGACTGGTCGGTCAACAATCACCTAGCTGTATGTCTGGGTGGAAGTGTGTACCTGTGGAATGCTGCATCAGGGGATATTAACCAGCTCTGTCAGATGGAAACAGCAGATGAGTACATCGGGGCAGTGGCCTGGATTAAGGAAGGAAATTATTTGGCTGTAGGCACAAGTAATGGTGAAGTTCAGGTATGTGAGCAGATCGGTGGTATATAGTGTCACTTGGTGTCCCTGTTATTGGTGAAGGTTACTTGTCTCTACCAAATTGAATGACATTGCTATATGGGATATTAATAAAACAACTTAAGGCATTTTTTTTTTGGTTCAAATTTGATCTTTTCAAAAGATAAAATTTCAGAATTAAATAGCTTTCGTAAAAGTTCAGGGCATTCAGCTGACCTTATGGATTTGTTTTTCAATCTCAAAAATGGGTTATGACTCTCTGACTTTGAAGGGACACATACATTTTGACCCATGAGATTTGTGATTTGACTTCACAGTGTATACAGTGAATGTACATGTGCAATACTGCCACATTACATACATAGTAATCCTGACCAAACAAAAATATAGGATCGCTTTTTTATTTTCAGAATATCCTCAAGTCAATAACATATTCATATGGATAAACATATTATTGTTTGTATTCATGTTATGAAAATTCAAAAAATGATATGTGGATTGATTTTTAGTCTTTGTTATTGCATTTAAAATACATAATCGGAAGCCTTGGGACTTGTCTGATTCAGTACAATAATGGAATATTTGCAGAACATTCTCTTGAAATCAGCAAGAAGTCAAGGAAGAATTGTATTTGCGGACAATTATAGAACACTTTTCATTTGTTGATAGCGCTAGATACTTATAAAGAATGGTGAAATTTCTTGCCCCACAAATGTTCAATGACAACTATTGTTTTACAGTTGTGGGATGTAGCAGCCACCAAGAGACTGAGAAACATGACTGGACATTCAGCACGAGTGGGATCCCTGTCCTGGAACTCCTATATCCTGAGCAGGTATACTGATAAAAGACTTGAGTGAGATGATCAATGGGAAATCACGTAAATATGTAGAGATAAAAAGGGATGGGTTATTTAGTAAAAGCATCATCTGTGTCTCAGTTTGTAGCAAAATAACTGAAGTGAAAGATATCCCATGAACTTAGTAACAGATTTACCTCATATTTACACGTATATTTAGCTTTCTATTACCTTAAGTTCTAAACTTGATTAGGTTTTAATATCAGTTGTCAAGGTTACAGAATCAACCACTTTGAAATTAAACCTCTTTAAAGATCTGATTGTTATTTACTCTTTAGTATTGAAAAATATTAACAGTCAAGGTTAAAGGTCACACAAGAAATCACATATATCCTTTCCTGATAGTTGGTGGTATATTAGGTAAGCCCCTGTTCACTTTGTTTTCAGTATTGTCTGTTTATATCCTGGTCATCAGAGAACTAGACTCAACATCATTTAGTTTCTACTTAGAATTTACAGCATATCAGTTACCTACGTTAATATGAATGATTAAAAAAAATGTTAGACAAAATATTTCCACACATGCCAGAAACTACGAAGTTAACAATGACTTTGAATATATTAAATCAATTTATGTGAAGACAAAAATGGAATACTAAAGAACAAGGAATGTTTACTATATCATTTAATTGTACGTGTGAAGGATATATTATCTTTTATTACAAATCTGATTTGATTTATAATTCTCTTTCAGTGGTTCGAGAAGTGGGGCAATACACCACCATGATGTGCGGGTTCCAAACCACCACATCAGCACATTGCAAGGCCACAACCAGGAAGTTTGTGGCCTGAAATGGTCCCCAGATGGCAAGTTTCTGGCCAGTGGTGGTAATGACAACCTCCTCAACATCTGGGGAGCACAGTCTGGAGGTTTTATCACTGACAACCAGCCCCTCTACACATTCTCACAGCATCAAGCTGCGGTCAAGGTATTACAGGGACTATGTTAAAAGTATATCCCCTTGAGACTTGTTATCAGAATGTATTGTACTGTGGTAGTACCTGAGAAATTTATTCATAAACCATGTCATCCTCAATTTAATAACTTCAGGATTTAGTGTCCCTTGAAAGTTTTCATCCCCGTTTGATGAAATTGGTGGGAGATATTGAAACAGGCTAAGGAGATTGCACTCTTACATTTGATAAACTTTTAGTGGTACAGGACTTGTAAGAATGCAAGTTGCAAATGCAGCATTTGACCCACATTCTCTGCTCTGAGTGACTTATTTCTATTCCATTTGAGATCTGCATAGACCATAGTAAAGAAACTGGAAATGCTACATGGTTTATACTATCCACTGCAATTTTGCAGTTAATTAATACATTTAGCCAATTTCTGAATAATTCATCTCTTAACTGATTAACTGATCACTGTATTTTGTGACCTAAAATGATTCCTGTTATACATGTAATTATCTAGATACAAAGTTATCATTTTCTTATGTAGATATGTGTGTAACATAACATAATAACTATTGATTTTCTGTCTTAGGCATTAGCCTGGTGTCCTTGGCAGTCTGGCTTACTGGCCAGTGGTGGTGGAACTGCTGACCGACATATTCGATTCTGGAACTGTAACACTGGATCTTGTCTACAGAGTATCGACACGAAATCACAGGTGATAAATAAACTTCAGTTACTTCAGAATAACCTTGTTCCTTCATTAGTAGTTAAGTACATTTATTAATTCTCTCACAGAGGAATATTCAAGTACATTTTAATATAGATGCTGCATTCCATCCAGGCTGAACAATGGTCCCTTTGTTCCTTAAACGACTCAATTGGTGAAATGTCCGTCTAATGCCATCACTTCTAAGGGCTTCTGTATTAAAATATCTACTTGACCTCCAGGACTCCAAAATAAATCACTTCTATCCATGGTTTGGTTTCTTGCCTTTTATGCAAATTATCAGTTAAACTCTAAACAAAACATGGAGTCCTTGGATGGGATTAATATTTCTCTGGAATAACTAACGACATTAAGAGCAATTCTTGCAGTATATTTTTGGGATTCTCGGTTAGTTACATAAGTCTTTCAAACAGTTTGAAATACCAGGTAAGTCAAGTGCATATGATAAGAAAAATAACAATTCACAAAGCTATTAGGACTTTTTGATGATTTTGAATGGCAAAAGTTCAACAACATAACACCTGTCATATACTGATTATGATACTCTGAAACATGTTTTATTCAAGTCTCCATAAAATATTGATCTTCATCTGATTAGTGCCATAATTTTGTATGTCTTTCCGTCACTCTTGTATCGTGTTTGTTATTAAACTCAACACGTGCCCTTAATACTTTTTGAAAGAAATAATAACCCAGAACATACCCTTTTCCAAATGACCCATTTACCAACTGCTGCACAAATTTACTTATATTCATCAATGTTTCAATTTGCCTTCTATACTAGCTTCCTGCGAATGTTGACATTAGTTGACACCTTCATATTACCTTCCTTAGGCCTCACCATTATTCCCAATATTTCTTTAGGAGTTTTAAAGAGAGAAATAGCATTTTTAAGTTTTGATTCATTATTCATTTCTAATGATTAGCCGGACAGGCACTTAAGCTTTTGGTATCAGTACCTTGTTTTGTTATTTGTAAGTGATGTTTTATCTCTCGTTTTACAGGTGTGTGCTCTGCAGTGGTCTAAAGATTATAAAGAACTGATATCAAGTCATGGATTTGCTCTTAACCAGCTCACTATTTGGAAGTATCCGGTCATGTCCAAGGTAGCAGAATTAACAGGTAAGTCAATAATGTTACAGTTTGATGGATAAGATCATGTTATGATTGATATTTCCCTTTTATAGCCTATTAAAGAGATAGAAGGTGATTCTGAATTGTCAATATGTAATCATTAAAACATTTGAAAATTCTGGATTTAAATTTAGATTTAAATCATAAAGCCTTACTATTCATATTGAAGGGATTCCATGAAAATAAAAATGGGTGTTGCAAGATACAAAAACACAAAAAGTTTGAGATTTACTATGACATATTCCAATGACTTATCTTTAAAATGTTCTTCTCTACTCAACATTGTGTTACCTAGGGCATACAGCAAGAGTCTTGCACATGGCCATGTCCCCTGATGGTTCAACAGTTGTGTCAGCTGGAGCAGACGAGACACTACGCCTCTGGAAATGTTTCCAAGTGGATGAACAGAAGAAGAAAGTGCAAGCCTCATCAGCAAAGGAAACAAAGAGCAAACTGTCAATGACATCCATCAGATGATTCATTGCTTAATATAAACACTGTTGTGTTCTAAATAGTACTCCCCTTCCACCCTCGAAATTGGGGAAATGGACCAAGTCATAGATTTGGATATTGCCGAAAGCATATTTGTGGGGTGAAGGGGCCAGTATATAAACATTTTTGCTGACGTAAAAAAAGCAATTTTGAAAATATACTGGAATATGCCATGATGGTGCTGCCAAGCTATTTGGTGAAACTCTCAACTTGTTTCTGTATCTGTGTGTGAGCATAAAAGTATCTTTCAGAACTTCTGCATCAAAACGTTCACAACATTGGACAGTTCTGACTGCAGTAATATAAATCTATTGTGTGTTCAGAGTAAAAGCACATGCCTAAAGCTTCTGTTGTACGCTGATAGTATATCAATGGTTATGACTCGGTTTTCACTTGTTGACAATAATTGTTTTAATATTTTGTTAATGATTAACCAACATATGAGTCTACATATGTAAATTGGTTTTTATGATGTCTAATAAGTGAGGGATCTTCACATTTCTATATATTATTTCCATTAACTTATGAAGTTTTTGTAATTATTTTACATGACAAAAGTATTATCTATATATCTATCCTTTTACCAGTGGATTATTTTAAGTTCTGTGCTACTGTCAACAGGTTTAACGAATGCTTTTCTACATCCTAGAGATCATATTTATTTTAAATCAATCATGAAAATAAATATCAATTCAGAACGTTTTCTTGTAGCTCTCATCCACAAAACAAATCATAATGTAAGAAAATAAAACATTAGATAAAAATAATTAAGGAAATCAAAATGTTGAAATACACCAACATAGGAAAATCATGAATAAATTGCATATTGTGTAGGTACATGTGATACGAACATTCCAGCAGGAGGCATAGAATCCATATTCAAATGTGCTGAATTTTTTCTCTATCTTCCTATTGTAAAGTAAAACATGATTTGCCTATGCAATGCTACTTAAATTGTAACAATGTAACATAACTAGTCACCTAGCAAGGTCTTTGTGCTAGTTAAGTTAGAGAATTATGTCTGTTTTTAAGTGGTCAGGTCAGTGGACAGATTTTAGGGAACTTTCATATAAATAAATACAGAAAATATTTGAGAGACAGTGAAATCAAATGTTGCCCATTTTAGCATTAGTGCTGCTTCACTTCTTGAACATAACATACCAACAACAAGCACAGGACTAGAAAATGCCTCAAATGGCGGACAAGAGTCAACTTTACCCAAGGTCCCAGTTATTTCCTGAAAATTCATATATTTGTGAGTGGAAACTGAAAGAGGGTTTATTGTTACTCCACATGTAGTGTTGTATTTGTTACTGTTGTTATCCTTTTAATACAACTTGAGATGTTAATCACTGTTGTAGGACATTGTGTCCAGAATATTGTTGTTTTATGAGTGTTTTGTTGTGCGAGTGGATACTTCACTATCTAGCTTTCCTGTGTTTACAATACCTATTTTCTACTATTGCTTGTTGTGCATTAGACTTACCTAAACACCTTATTTGCAAAAAAACAAATGGAATCAAACAGAATTTGAAAAACTTTGTCTTTCCCATTATGATAATAATGTAAATAAATGGCTGCAAAAGAGAGAACAATTATGACAATAAATAGAAACAAATCCAACTTTGTCGTTTATATAAAGGTGATTTATCAGTATTAAAGATCCTCACTCATTCCATTGTGGACTTGTGGACAGGATATGTCAAGGAAATTTTACTGCAATCTTAACCTTATCAAAATCAAAATCTTTGAATATTAAATAATTGTTGTAGGATCGTCAAGATTTGTTATCTTCTGAGTCGTATACCATACAGTTTTTGTTATGAATTGTTACCGATTGACAAATGAAATTTTTATGTATTTTAACCGTTTCCTTTTGTGTACCATTAGTACATTGCAATATTACTCTACACCTATTTATCATTTTTCATGACACTGGTGATGATAGTTGTTGACTTAAAATTTTAACTGACCATGATCAAAGTTTGTAGTGACCAGTGTTCATATAAGAGAAATCTGAAGACTTTTCTGACATTTGAAATAGATATTCTTGAATCTAACAGTGATTTTTGTGACTTCAGATATTTGAAACCTTGACTCATGCTTTTCCTGTGGGATTCATACAACTTTCGGAACGCACACTATATCTTTGTAATTGGACTTTTCAAAATTTTGGAAATGGTGCTCTGGATTCACCAGAAAAAATTCTAAAAAAAAACTTTGTGAATTTCCATTCTGACATCCACCATTTTGACCTAGGGCAAAGTGTAACATGATTTATCAAGAGAGAACTCTCCAGTTCTTTAACATTTTTGTAGTTATTCAGGTTGAAAGTTCTACTCTAATATACCTTAAAGATCCATTCCTGAGTGAAATTGCCAATCAAAAGAAACCAAACATTTAGGAACATAATTTTTGCATTGTAGAATGATGAACAGTTTTAGTCAATCAAAAAGTTGTTTTAGGGAGGATTAAATTTTAACAGAATGGCATCTCATTGGGAAGAATCACTTCTTTCTATTTCTTTACTTTGTAGAAGAAAAATACACAGGCATATATGGTATAATAGGCTTTCTTCTTTAGTGTCAATTTTTTTTTCTGTTTTCATAATAATATTGCTCAATGAATATAGAACTAGCAGATTTTAATTGAGAAAAAGTTACATGATGTACTTTTAGTTCCCTCCCTTCCAATAATGAGAATGAGACATAATTAAAATGAAGTATTCAGACTGGAGACTCCATAGGAAAATTTGGATGTGGTGAAATAAATTATTTTATATGGTAATATGATACACAGAAATGCTAAAGATATGAAATGGACAATACACAATGTTTTAAGTGCATACAGAATTGATTTACTTTTAAATTAAAACATTGCTCAGTGAATAAAACTGAGAGATATTTCAGAGATATATCATATTTTTAAATGAATATATGTTGAAATTATGAATAAATTTATGAGATATTTTTTTCATTTTGTTTGATGTTTTTTATCTGACATTTTTTTTTATTTATGTGAGTAAACTTAGATCATTGAAGTGTTAGTTTCATGGATCATTATAGGATTAGTAAAATTAGGGGAGGGGGGGATTGACAAGTTTAGAGTTAGATTTAGGGGGAATGCCTTCATAGGGAAAACATAACGATATCTCATGGGTATCTAATTCTCTACTGAGCTCAAGTAAGTCATCATTATTGCTATTTTTAGAAGAGAACTAGCTTGATCATTTTCAAGTTTCATGTGCCATTTTCCCGTGGGCCTTAGTTGTGCCTTTAAATTTTAATAGTGATTGGAACAACAAAATATCTGATAGAGGAGAGACTATCTTTCTTGAGAAATACAAGAATGGGACAATCTCAAATATTTGTAGGTTCCCTGAAGGTCCTTCAGTCTTGTGAGCATTTATATTGTGGCTTTGATCACTCACCTGGATGTTTCAGCTTTCATCAAGATGATAACGATGTACTGTAATCAATTCAGCTATGATTTAACACTGCAGAGTTCAGTTTTGTTGAAATAAAATATATAGCCTAACTGACCCCAAGCCCCACCACTTTCTCTTCTAGAATCTTTAGACTTGTCTAAATAGAAATGTAGCCTTACTACCCTAAAGCCCCACCATTTTTTCAATTTTCAATCCTGTATGCTTCCAGTCAATGGTTAAGATGAAAAGGTCATTTGAAGAAAAGTGTGTCATACTGATGATAGATGCTATCATACGGCATAAGCTCATCTTGGTCATTTGAACCAAGAGAGGTAAATAATGTCACTGGTATTTCCTGGAAAGTCCAAAATGGATCAAGCCTGTTAAGTCAATCACTTCCCCCTCAGTCTTAAGGTATGCTGTTAATTTTCAAACTGATTCAAGAAACAAAATTGCCAATGGGCAACAAATCTTGTATTTGGATAGTCAAAAATTTGTAGATGCTGTTTCTGCAGAAATATACTTTACTTAGTTTTTATTTCATGTGAAAGTTTGCTTTATAGAATTATCTTGTTAACATTTCTTTTTCATTCAGTCAATAGGAAAAGTAATTTAGAGCAAATAAAAACTAAAAAACTAGAATTGATAATAATTGTGTCATGGTCACAGACCCCTATACAAGAACATTTTGTTCAAGCAGAAAACAGTCATAAAGAGATGCGTGAACAAAGATTCTTTTGATGTGTAATCAGTAAATGTAATGAAAACCCTATTAATCACAGGTACTTGAACACTATGGATGGTAAAAAAAAATTATAATTTGCTATCAACTTTCTCCAGTTCAATTTTGAACTGTTCTGAGCCAGGTACTTGATCCTTCAAAAATACCATTCAATAAGTCATTGCCTTTTTGTCTATTTGTAAAAGAATACCAAAGAGGCAGTTGAGGATCTAATGTAGAAAAAATCATCAGTTATATGTCTGCAAGTAAAGCTACATATCCAAGAAAACTTATCATGAAACAATTTACAAATATTTGATCCAAAAACTGAATTTGAAACAGCAGAATATTCACCAGAAGTAAAACAAATAATCCGAGCACTTTTCATGATTTGAGAATGTTATATTGGTAATGGTTGAACAGAAAATCGTGAGTTGATGGCACTGATGGAGACATTAACCAAGGTTGTGTTTTGGTGCATAGGTGACTTATTCGGACCTACTCCCAATACATTCCTATTGTATTTTTGAAAGGGGACAAAGAGAAATATCCCAGAAATCATTTACTCACCACCATATCTTGTAGTCAATAGATTATGATGAAATGGAAATATTTAAGAATAAAAACAAAGCAGTTTCACTGTTTTATCTTTATTAGATAACTGGTGAATATAGCAATACTTAGCTATAATACTGGATCTGACATTCAGCTACATCATATATATTATTGCTTAGCAGCAATAATAGTCTTTTTGACAGTCTCTTCCAATCTCTCTGATTTCTGAATTTTGATATGATCATAAATGAAGTTCCTGTTCTTAGTTATAAACCCTTATGATATGAGTATTTTCTGTTGAAATTAGAATCCTGATTTAACACGGAACCTCTCCTGTAGAAGTAAACTATGATCAGAAATTGTGAAAACCAAATAATTGATTTATCATTTCCTAAAACAACACTATCTTACTTTTTTTGATACTGATATATTAACAAAACCAAACCTACATCATACATCAAATACTTCTTTCATATCAACAGGTACAGGCTTTTGTAATATTTTTCTCAAAAAATTAAACGCACAAGTCAACAGCATTCCTTACATTTAAAGCTTGGATAAAAGTAATTCATGTCTGCAAATCATACAGAATTTCTATAAATCATCATCAAGTTTTCAAATATTTTGCAAGAAAAAAACTTCATGAAATCGAAAATGGAAATCCCTACACTAATGTAAAGGGAGATAACCAGTAGATTTTCCTTTTCTTCAAATAAAATATTTCAAACACCCTTGTTTTTTTATAAATTTTCAGGAATACATGTACATTTACACTTACATTTATAATTTTCACACATTTTTCGAATAAATGCAGCTCTCCCCTCTCCTCACATACTAGTATTATAGATCAAAGTTGATTGATAAAACTTTCACATCTTCACATGATTCTGTTATACAAAGCATAAAGTGACATAACAAATAAATAAACTGGTCAAATGTAAATCTCAAACAATATTAAAGAGAGCATCATCAGATGTTACTTACAAATATGGTAATTATCAATGTACTTAATGATTAAAGGATTAAGTATCAATTGCACCTAGTTACACGTACCAACACACACTTATCACATGTAAACTATTTTGACAAGTCCTGAGCCTCATCGTAAAAACACAGTACAGTACATGTTACAATGTGTTATAACACTACACAACACCTCATAGTCTATAAATCAATGTTGAACTCATTTGCCCTCCACCATTTTATCACGAATGATCACAGACTCGTCAAATTCAATCATGAATGTTGTTCCTTTATGCCAATGAGCTGTCACCTTGGCTGGCTGGAAAATATGATGGTGAAACACAGGAGTTAAAGTAATCCAACAAAACAGGAAGATCAGAGCATATTAACCTAACTAAAACAGAATCCTTGTAAGATAAATCAATACTTCACATACTGTAACCCCATTATCCACAAAATCAAACAGGTTTAACTCTAAAGTTTAAACTCTGCAAGACGTATTCTTGATATCCTCAGTTCACTATATTCTTTGTTATAATGGTGTTTCCAGCAACCGTTTCGTTTGAATATTTCCTGATGTGAAATTTAACTAATATCAGAGGATCTGTATCTTAAAAGCACAAGTCTTATAACAACGGATGTGATTAACCATAGGTTTTCCACAGGAGCATCATTAAGGACTGATAATGTTAAACACAATTTTACAAAACAAAAGCACAAGTGTTTCAGAGAGCTTTGTTATTAGTCAAGCAACACATTAGTGAAGGTGTGTCACATGTTAGCATGTTCTGCTGATCAGTTTACAGTTTAAAAATAATACATTTATCTCTATTTCACTACCATAGGTCCCAGAGAGATCTTGATGCCCACCATTGTTTGATCTTTATTTGTTCTATAAAAGTTGGATTTTTTTTCTTCTCTCTACTCTCCTCTGTTTCTGTTCTTCATTATCAAAATTTCTCAAAGAAATTGTGATAATAACCTTAGTCATTTGGTTTTCTGATTAACACAAAATAAAATAGGCACAACTAGGAAACAAAGGAAACCTATATAGGAAAATTGAAAAGATCCCTCCTGCACTTCTCCAGAAATAGTGATAGCAAGAACTGTTAATGTATGGACCCTGGATGAAGGGCAATTCACATATCCCATCATCTATGATTGGCTAATGATGTACAATGTAGGTAGCTTGTGTCACTTTGCTTTGTGCAGTTATATTGCTGTTAAGTTCCATGACCTGTAATCTCAATCCCACGATCTTTGGTTATTAAACTTACCTGGCATGTTCCATTTTCATCAAAGCATGAGCAGTATCATTATAATTATAGGTCATAAATACATTTCTACATGACATCTGCATTACTTTCATCTCCTCAACTAATTATTGTTTTATTTAACACATCCTCTTTATACTGTAATAGGCCAGTGAGTCACCACAGCACTTGAAGCTCAGACCCAGTAAAAAGCCACTGCGAACCACAGCTGGCCAAGCACTCTAGGATTCATTCCCTCTAACAAGGCCAGGGAGTTTTGGCCAAACATAGATAAAGACACTAGACCTCCTTAAATTATCTTACATGTACCTAAGAAACAGTGAAGATTTCCAATCCATTTTGCATTGCCAGCAATTTTCCTCAAAACTTTAAAATGTTTCATGCAAGGCCATTCTCTCGGTATATCAATTATGACAAGAAAACCTGAATACATGTACTTCTAAGTGCTATTTTGCAGTATCTATGTCAGTAGGTAAAACAACACTTCATCTTAATTGGTGTTCATACATGTTAATTAGTTATTGGCAGGTGCTTTTGTAGCTCTGCTGGTATACACACATTTATTTTTCTTCTGAAATTCTAGAAATACTTGTCTACTTACAAAGTTGGCACCATTTAATATGGCCTCTATGATTCCTGCTGTGAATGCTGCACAGTTTAATTTGCCTGTAAATAAAAACACAGGTATTATGACAACATGGAATTCCAGTTTGTAATAGTAATGGTACAATAGAAACAGTGTTCTTAACCATTGTGACTTTTCAACCAATGTTTGATCTGTGAGGTTTTGATTCTTATAGTATCACAGAAACTACTGAATGATGGGACATGATACTGTCTAATCACTTATTTTCATTGGGCTCAAATTTCATGGTTTTTAGAAAATGATGCATTTTCCTTGGCACTTGATTTCTTAGATAAATCTTGCTCACAAAATCCACAAGAACTGAAGTCCATATCAATGTGTACTTACCTTTATCCTTTGGAACTGATATAAATCTGTTGACCAGGTGCTCCGATTCTATTATGTAATCTGGATGAGTCAAGGATTGAGATACATCTTCAGACTTAACAAGAATCATCAAAACTATTCCTACTGCACTAACTTTGGTTTGTTTCTCCTGAGCTGACTAAACAAGGTTTACTTCTCCTATACTGATTAAACTTGGTTTGTTTCTCCTAAGCTGATATAACCTTGGTGTTTCTCTTTCACTAACTAATGTTGGTTCATTTGTCATGTACTCAAATCAACCTTTGTTGGCATCTCTTGCACTAAGACCAACCTTGTCAACACTGACTAAACTGATTGCTCCTGAATTGATTAACTTACTTAGTTTTGTTTTTCCTTAACAAACATTGGTTTGATTCTCACTAACCATTGGCAGTTTCTCTTGTACTGACTCTTGCTTTGTTTTTCCTCTTCTAGCTAACCTTGGTTTGTTTCTCTAGTACTGGCTAACCTTGGTTTGTTTCTCTAGTACTGGTTAACCTTGTTTGTTTCTCTAGTACTGGCTAACCTTGGTTTGTTTCTCTAGAACTGGCTAACCTTGGTTTGTTTCTATAGTACTGGCTAACCTTGGTTTGTTTCTCTAGTACTGGCTAACCTTAGTTTGTTTCTCTAGTACTGGCTAACTTAGGTTTGTTTCTCTAGTACTGGCTAACCTTGGTTTGTTTCTCTAGTACTGGCTAACCTTGGTTTGTTTCTCTAGTACTGGTTAACCTTGTTTGTTTCTCTAGTACTGGCTAACTTCGGTTTGTTTCTCTAATACTGGCTAACCTTGGTTTGTTTCTCTAGTACTGGCTAACCTTGGTTTGTTTCTCTAGTACTGGCTAACCTTGGTTAGTTTCTCTAGTACTGGCTAACCTTGGTTTGATTCTCTAGTACTGGCTAACCTCGGTTTGTTTCTCTAGTACTGGCTAACCTCGGTTTGTTTCTCTAGTACTGGCTAACCTTGGTTTGTTTCTCTAGTACTGGCTAACCTTGGTTTGTTTCTCTAGTACTGGCTAACCTTGGTTTGTTTCTCTAGTACTGACTAACCTTGGTTTGTTTCTCTAGTACTGGCTAACCTTGGTTTGTTTCTCTAGTACTGGCTAACCTAGGTTTGTTTCTCTAGTACTGGCTAACCTTGGTTTGTTTCTCTAGTACTGGCTAACCTTGGTTTGTTTCTCTAGTACTGGCTAACCTTGGTTAGTTTCTCTAGTACTGGCTAACCTTGGTTTGATTCTCTAGTACTGGCTAACCTCGGTTTGTTTCTCTAGTACTGGCTAACCTCGGTTTGTTTCTCTAGTACTGGCTAACCTTGGTTTGTTTCTCTAGTACTGGTTAACCTTGTTTGTTTCTCTAGTACTGGCTAACTTCGGTTTGTTTCTCTAGTACTGGCTAACCTTGGTTTGTTTCTCTAGTACTGGCTAACCTTGTTTGTTTCTATAGTACTGGCTAACCTTGGTTTGTTTCTCTAGTTCTGGCTAACTTTGGTTTGTTTCTCTAATACTGGCTAACCTTGTTTGTTTCTCTAGTACTGGCTAACTTTGGTTTGTTTCTCCAGTACTGGCTAACCTTGGTTTGTTTCTCTAGTACAGGCTAACCTTGGTGTGTTCTATACTAACTAAGCTTGTTGTGTTTCTCCTGTATTGACGAACCTTGATCTGTTTCTCTTGTACTGAATAACCTTAGTTTTTTTCCCTGTATTGACTAACCTTGTGTTTTTTTTTTTTTTTTGTCATACACTGATTACCATTAGTTTGATTTGTGTCAGGTGCAATTATAATCATACAGGTGTAAAGTAACAAATATGGGCATGTAACAATAAAGACTAGCATGCTTTATAACACTACTTATTGTATTTGTATGTATAATGTGTGTGGTAACAGGATTGTAATAAACTTGCAGGTGTGATTCCTTTAGAATTCATACATCCCCAATTTTATCTTACTAATCTAAACATGACACCAGAAGTTCATAAAAACAATTACATACCCAAATTGATTTCCTGCAACCAGCACTAGCTGATATCACAGACACCAGAAAATTAACATATGGTTTACACAGCAACCACGCTGTAAATTAAGGTCATAGGCTGACATACATGTGTAAAAATAGCAACAGGAATTAAATGATGAATTCTTATGAACATTGTGATTAAATATCACAAATAGTTGTGGTTATTATTTCATTCTTTATGATGTGAATTAATGGTATCCAAATGTTATACAGCAATCAGACATTCCTGATATCAAATAGAAAGTTTAAAGACTTGTTCAAAAGTTAATGGATAGCAACTTTGGATCGGCGATGATTCAGACATAAAGTAATCTAGACACAAAAACCTTAGCCCTAGCTAATTTGGAATATAACAAATTTTGGTAGTAGGATATAGTAAGAACTTTGAGACTTCAGCCAAATGACTTTTAAACTGAGTTAAATCATTTATCCTGAATTATATCAATACTTTCTGTGAATGAAAATGACCACTAAACTGGGCGACATTAAACAGAGATTTCCTGTTTTCCTGTTATACTGTTAATAATACCTGATCTGTGGTTGTTTAGAATCAGAATTTAGTTTTACAAACCACAAAATTCTGACCAACTAATGTTCACTCAGTTCTTGCTTTAGGTTCATTAAAAATTTTAATTCTTGCCTCAAATGCAATTCTCTGAAAACCTTTTCAACCACAAATGACTAGCTAAAGTATAATGTTGTACATTTTGAAGTCAACTAACAAAACTTTTCACAAGGTAGTACCTCTTCAAACACTTTGATCGAGGAAAAAAATACATAGAGTTCAGTCTTATAAGATATGTCAATGATAGCTTAGTGTTCAAGGATACAAGTCCTCTCGTCATCATTGGAATGCTCCAGTGTGTCTGCTTGCTTTCCAAACAGGGTCTAAAAAAAAAACACAGGTTATCATCTTTTTCTCAGCGAAACACCCTTTTACAATGTACTGGTGGAAGTGGAACACAGTTGAAAAGTTTCTAACCTACTTACTGAAATATACAATGAATAAGTATTTCTGGTTACAATTTGGACGACCCAGTATTTAAGCAAAACATATATACAACAGCTTAATTTCAAATCAATACATCTAGGTCAATAGTGATAATCTAAAATATAAATCTAATGCCATGAGGGGGATTCTCAAAGAGAAAAGATAAAATGATAGGACGTCATTCAGACATGATACAATCACAGGATCTTCACTCAGACAATGATAAACTTTCACTCAGACATGATCAAATGAGGGAACCTTCTTTCAGCCATGATAAATTGTATGGGGCTGCACTCAGACATGATCAAATGAGGGGACCTTCTTTCAGCCATGATAAAATGAAGTGGCCTTCACACAGACATAACAAGAATTCCACGCGTTTTATGGAACAATAGCCATAGATGTTCATTATATTTATTCCATTTATATCATTTGTATTGCTCCAAATATGACAGGAACAGGGCCAACCCACCTGAAAATCAATCTCAAACAAGCTTCTTTGGTTAAAAAACATCATATAAAGTTTGAGTCTAATTGTTCAGAGAACACTCAAGTAATCACACAAAACAAATTTTCTTTTTATAGCTACAATGACCTTGCCCTTTGACCTTTTGACTTTTGAAAAACAATCCCAAACAAATACCTTTGGTAAGATTATTGTACAAAAACAAATTTTCTATTTATAGTAACAGTGAGCTTTGACCTTCAAACCTGAAAAGCAATCACAAGCAAGCCATTTTCATAAGGAAATACTGCATTGAGTTTGAGTGTAATTGTCGAAAGAAAACACAAGTTACAGCATGAAAACCAATCTGTCCCACTGTCCCATCACTCAGACAAGATAAAATGTGATTCTGCTTAATATTTCAGTTGTTATTAATATATGAGAGAGAGAGCCCATGAAACATTGTTTCAATGGAACCATTAGAATGGATGTTTACAATGTGGTGAGTGAATTTTGAGACAAATGTGAAGTCAGTGTTTGTAATAAAAACACAACTTTTACCGACTATACTTCTATGTATTGAAGACATTTGAAATTTTTAGAAATCTTTTTCATTATACAAATGACCACACACATAAAGAAAGCACCTGCTCATTCTTTTATCTCTACACAGAGAAGAAATACATGTAGTGCAATTTTTAGTGATGTTTATCTGTATAATTTTGAGGTCAACATAACCTTTTTAAGTGGTATTTATTGATGTTGAAGAAGAATGACAGATTTATGACTGAAAGCGAAATATTTCTCCTCATCAGTCGGACTCTGGTAAGATAATTACAGATCAGTTATCTTGATATGATGTGATTTTTTTTCAACTTTTTCATGCATGTTTTCCTTTCCACCTGCAACTGTACATGTGGGTCCAACAAGTAAAGTAATTCTGCTGACAGCACATGTATGTATGTAAATTAGGTACAACGAAATACTGCTGACTACCTTAAACATCATACTTAATCTCTCTATTTACATGTACACATAGTACATACTGCTGACTACCGTAAATATCATACTTAATCTCTCCATTTACATGTACACATAGTACATACTGCTGACTACCATAAATATCATACTTAATCTCTCCATTTACATGTACACAGTACATACTGCTGACTACCATAAATATCATACTTAATCTCTCTATTTACATGTACACATAGTACATACTGCTGACTACTGTAAATAACATACTTAATCTCTCCATTTACATGTACACATAGTACATACTGCTGACTACCATAAATATCATACTTAATCTCTCTATTTACATGTACACATAGTAAATTAATCTCTCCATTTACATGTACACATAGTACATACTGCTGACTACCGTAAATATCATACTTAATCTCTCCATTTACATGTACACATAGTACATACTGCTGACTACCATAAATATCATACTTAATCTCTCCATTTACATGTACACATAGTACATACTGCTGACTACTGTAAATAACATACTTAATCTCTCCATTTACATGTACACATAGTACATACTGCTGACTACCATAAATATCATACTTAATACTTAATCTCTCCATTTACATGTACACATAGTACATACTGCTGACTACTGTAAATAACATACTTAATCTCTCCATTTACATGTACACATAGTACATACTGCTGACTACCATAAATATCATACTTAATCTCTCCATTAACATGTACACATAGTAAATACCACTGACTACCGTAAATATCATACTTAATCTCTCCATTTACATGTACACATAGTAAATACTGCTGACTACCGTAAATATCATACTTAATCTCTCCACAATCACATATACAGAAAACATAAACTGCTGACTACCAAATTTAGTCTCTCCACAATCACTTGTACACAAAGTACATACTGCTGACTACTGTAAATACTGCTAAGTACTGTAAATACCAAAATTAATCTTTCCATAATCACATATACACATAGTTAATCCTGCTGACTACCATGAATACCAAACTTAAGCCCTCGTTTACGACATATACACATAGTAAATAATGCTAACTACCATAAATTTCCACAACACAAGTATGTACATTTCAGTAATTTTCTTACCCTTTTTCACAGGACCTGTAATTTTATCAAATGGGAAAATATAGAAGGGTTTTCTTATAATTAAATTTGGAAAATAATTCTTACCACAAAAGTAACATGGATAGATCTTTGTTTTTATCATTTAAATATCATTACCAGTAAATCTAAGTTTTTAACTTTTAAAGAGCTACATTTTGGAATATAATGTGAGTGCTTTCACATCAAATGTCAGGTTTGGTCATCTCTCTTGTTTATAAACCAGATATATTTATGACTTTAAAAGAAAGTAATTTCGTCCTTTATTTGAAGGTTAACTTATATGCATGTCTGTCTAAATGACATGTAAATTATTCTGTATCAAAGTAAATTGATTTTCTATGGGAGTGCTAATGTTTGCAACCACGTGGTACCAGTTTTCTATTCAAGATATGAGAGATAGTGTATACCTGTTCTAGATACCAACAGGTAGGAGCTGATCATCCTCATGTAATTAGTAAATACTTTCTAAACATTTTGTCCAAATGGCTAAAAGGCCTAATAATTGCCACTTTGAATATTTCTTTTGACAGAATCTAACTGCACCAGGTGCAAATTACCAGGTTTACATTTACATACACAAGTTTAATTATAAATGGACCAAAATCTGATTTTGTAGTACATGTACCAGCTGGTTCATTATATTTAAATGTTGTTCACTTCTTCCTTCCTTTCTTTCCCCTCAGTGAACTCTATAGTATTCCATCTCCGCAGCTTACATTTTATATTGGGGTGATGTAAGACAGTTCTGGCCTACCTACAGATCTATCCAGCCTTGGACATGATCATCACAGGTGGCAAATGAAATATGAATGATCAAAATGATTGACAACAACACTAACAATATTGGATGTCATATATAGTAATGATAACCTCTGACCCAAAATGATCACACAGGTAACACACACCTGTACATGAGTTGTAAATTTGAAGTCATTTTCATAAAAAATGTCCTGAACTTTCAATTTAGTTTATACAGCAGTCATAAATTGTGAAACACCTGATGTATATTATAAGTATTGTGCTATATTCTTTATTCCTCGTAAAACTCATTATTATAGTCTTCAATGCTGCATGAAATTCCATTCTTTGTCTGCTTAAAATCTAGAGCACCAATACATAAATGTCAAGAAATGTTAGCTTTATTTAAAAACCCAAGTTGTATATATATATATTTTATTCAAAATGAAGTTCATCATTATTTTCCTTGTATTACCAACTCATCATAAAACACCAACATTTTTACATTTAAATTTGAAAATGAAGTTTGAATTTTACATAGTATTCTCACAAAGCTTTATCAAGCTAACAAAACTTGATAAAACCTGTATACTATACCTCCCACAGCGTATAGGAGAGAGAGAAGATGCATCACAAAATAGTTTCGGAAGCTCCAGTGATCAACCCTTTAATTTTCAATGTAAGACAAATTTTATGAACATAATTATCTTTAAATTTAAAGATGTGAACTCCAGGACGGAAATTAAAGTACACAGATTTCAATAGCAACAGTGTCAGAAAATTCAGACCCAGCAGATTGAGCAAGAAGTGATTTTTATTTTATTTAGAGATGGGAGCAAAGAAATTTTGGGTTGAAGGAAAGGAAATATTATAGACACGATTCCTATATATATATAGTATAATCGAAAGAGAAAGTGACAAACACAGTTATTATAGGAAAATGATGTAGTTTTCAAATTTTCCGCAACAAAAGCACCACAAACGGATGCAGGATATGACCACCTAGCCTCAACGGAAATCTTTTGATATCATTATTTGAAAACCTGATGTGTTCTTTATTTCTTACCAATCTAACTACATCTTAACAGGCCATTTTAGGCCTTTCAAATCAGTCTACATAATACAGAATTTATCCTAGTAAGCATTACATATATAGGAATACTGATATAGTTCTAGTAATGAAAATTTCACAAGTTAATTCATCAGAGAGACCAAACAACAGCATTCAGGGGAAAAAATATTCATGATAATCAACACTTTAGAAAATATTTCAATCATTATGAATAGGACATGGACAATTTTTAACTTGAAAATTTTGCTGGAAAAAGCAATCTCTAGCTGATGCAAATACTGACAGATTGACCAATATTGAACTCATTTGAGATCTCGCTAATACAAAGAAATAAACAAAATTTGGTTAAATCTAATGAAATACTCAATGGTTATTTAAATGAAATCCTAAAACAGACAGACAAGTAGACAGACAGACCAAAACCAACATGCCTCTCAATCTTAAATCTCAAAAGCATAAAGGTCATGTAACACAATGAATTCAATATTACACCGAAATTTTATGA